GATCTCCTGTAGTCATAATCACCAGGAAATGCAGACAGCCAGATCAATTCCTGGTTCTTGAGCAAACATTTTTTAGTGTCTCAGTCATCAAATATGTTCCTTTATATAAGCTGCTGTTTAATGATGACTTCAAGAGGAGAAAACTCAACCTTTTCAACAAACAGTATCTGAAGTTGGTACTCTGCTATTTGTCACCCAAACTCAGCTATTGTCAATCTCTTTTACATCAAGCTGAAATATATTTTATTACTATTGAGTTTTTTCTAAGTTTCATTCCAGGAAGGGCCTAGCTGTTTTTTTTAAAACAGGTTTATCCTTACCTTATGACCTTTCATATCCCTTTTTTATGGGGTAGCAAGTGTTCCTATGAGAGCCAATCCCATTTTTGGCAAACAAGATAAAACTGTGCAACTGTGTTAGATGCATCTTGCCTTGTTTAAAATCTATAAAGGCAGCACCTATCATTTCATATTATTACTTAATTGTTGCATCAAATTCAGCTATTTGTGTGCTTCAGTGTGATTTGGCAAGCCATGGAAGTTTGGAGCAGACACTAAGCAGTAAAAAGATGCAAGGAGACTATTCTGTGTGGGTTATTTGCAGACTAGCAGTATTGATTTTGTAGTTTGTGAGCCACTTAGACCAAATCCCAGACATTGGGAAAAACAGAATGCAAATAGAAGCAACACCTTCCACAAGACATCATACTATGACAGAGCATTATGTAACCCAAAATTACATTAAAAGCGGATAGCAGAATATTAAGCTTACTGCCTTTAATATTCAAAATACATGATCCTTTTTTATGTAGCATTAGGGGTGGGACGATATACCGATACACCGATACATACCGATATTTTCCTCTAAGATACGGTTTACGATACAAGCATCCAAATATCAGTACGAAACGATACACGAACGACCTATCCAAAAATTGAAAATGAAAGTACCTGTCCTTGGAAAATGGCGGCTTGTACGAAGCGAAGAGATGATGTTGATTATTGAAAACACACTTTAGAACTAATAAGTGGTTGTTTAGGGGTAAAGGGGTAAAATGTTTTCACTTTTAAGCAGCCTCGGAAGATTGGACAAGAAAAGTTCAGTATGTAATGCGTGCTATACACAGAAAGCATCGTTTCCAGAGCATTTGATATTATTTATAATTGTTAGTCCATCTCGTTTTTTTTTTTTTTTTTTTTTTTGGTAATCTCAGCTTTGCTACAGACTTTCAGCAATTAATAATAATGTAAATGTGATGTTTTTAAATGAATTTAAGTCAGTGTACTCTGATGAACTACACAACTATTTGTAAACAACTTCTTAAAAGTAATTTGGTACTAATAATAATATGTACATGTATTATTGTTTTTGTAAAGTTTTAGTGAATGACACTGATTAATTTCATGTATTAACTTCAAAGCACACATTATTTGATATAGAATAATATGTTGATTTAATGTCAAGGCAAAAAATGAAATAAAATACTAATTCTTTTGAATAGTTTTATAATTTATCATGTTGATTTAATGTCAAGACAAAAAATGAAATAAAATAAATTACTAATTTTTAAAAATAGTTTTATAATTTATCATAATATCGAGATACGTATCGTATCGTGCCAATATATCTAGATACGTATCGTATCGCAAGATCTGTGTATCGTCCCACCCCTATGTAGCATGTTGATTGATGACTGAATATTAATAGCTTAAGGTTATATTTAGTCTGTTTTTCATACAACAAGAGGCCCATGGGTCACATCGCTCACCTGAGAAGCTTTGACCATTCCGTTCTTTACCAGATTTCCCCCTTGTAATAGATATTGTGACCCCATCCTACCCCACAGATCATAATTTAGACAATTTGAAATCTACACTACCATATGATGCTTTGATTCCCCATTGTTAAACTTTGATTCCCCATTGTGGCCCCGCCCTACCCCTGGGGGTCATGATTAGAGCAATTTAGAATCTACACAACCCCAGGATGCTTCCACATAAGTTTCAGCTTTTCTGGCCAAGTGGTACTTGAGAAGATTTTTAAAGATTTTTCCTATATATTTCTATGTAGAACTTTGATTCCCCATTGTGGCCCCGCCCAACCCCCGGGGGTCATGACTTGAACAATTTAGAATCTACACTACCCCAGGATGCTTCCACATAAGTTTCAGCCTTTCTGGCCCAGTGGTTCTTGAGCCGAAGATTTTCAAAGATTTTTCCTATATACTTCTATGTAAAATTTTGATTCCCCATTGTGGCCCCGCCCAAGTCCCGGTGGTCATGATTTGAACAATTTAGAATCTTCACTACCTAAGGAGGCTTTCACGCAAGTTTAAGCTTTTCTGACCCAGTGGTTCTTGAGTAGAAGATTTTCAAAGATTTTTCCTATATATTTCTTTGTAAAATTTTGATTCCCCATTGTAGCCCCGCCCAACCCCCGGGGGTCATGATTTGAACAATTTAGATTCTTCACTACCCCGGGATGCTTCCCCATAAGTTACAGCTTTTCTGGCCCAGTGGTTCTTGAGAAGAAGATTTTAAAAGATTTTTCCTATATATTTCTTTGTAAAACTTTGATTCCCCATTGTGGCCCCGCCCTACCACCGGGGGTCATGATTTGAACAATTTAGAATCTACACTATCACAGAATGCTCCCACATAAGTTTAAGCTTTTCTGGCCCACTGGTTCTTGAGAAGAAGATTTTTTAATGACGCCACCCTATTTTTGTGTTTTCTTGATTATCTCCCCTTGTGAGGGAATTTGGCCCTTCATTTTAACAATTTAAATTTTCCTTTACCCAAGTATGCTTTGTACCAAGTTTGGTCAAAATTGGCCCAGTGGTTCTTGAGAAGAAGTCGAAAATGTGAAAAGTTTACAGACGGACAGACAGATGGACGGACGGACGACGGACAAAATGTGATCAGAAAAGCTCACTTGAGCCTTCAGCTCAGGTGAGCTAAAAAATGTTCAGTTAGCCCCCTCCCACCCTTTAAAAGAATTTTTGTTTATACCCAGACAGAACATCACAGTTTCCTTGAAATCATTTATTTCCTAGTTATTTCAAATTTAATCCAAGTTTAATTTACAAACACAGACCTACTTTTGGAAGGGGACATGTTAAAGTAAGTCTCAGTAGATAATATTCATTTTTCTCATATCCACTGCACAAGCACAGTAATCTATATGACAGGTGATATTATTTACATCATTTATTTATTCAAGTCATTGAAAGTCATCAATAGTTCAAGGTCACTTGATTGCCATCAATCAGTGCTTTACAATCCCAATTCACGATGGTTTCAATTCCACCCACTAACAAGATCTTCTAGATTTATAACTCAAAATCATGGTAAATAATATTGATTACTTTTGTACCAAAAGCTTCTTCGAAAATATTTTATCTCCAGGAAGTTATACAAGTTTTAGTATCATGTAAACTTTAGGATGTGTATATTTGAGTGTTTGATTCATGATCAGTGTTCTACCATTACAATATTGGCCATAAAGGTCTGGGTAGGAAGTTTTGTGAAAGATCATTTTATGGTGTTGAAAGAGAAAGATCTGAAAAGGTGCCAAGTTTTGTGTTCATGGATTGCTAGAAGATTAAATGTTACATGTACATGTAGCAAGTAATCTATTCATTGTGTACCCTAAACAGTGTAACAAGATTCTAGTGAAGACCACCAAATACATCAAGGTATTTGGTAATCTGGCATAAATATCTGTGAAGAAAATCAACATGTATTTACATGAGAGTGCTCAGCCTATAAAAGATGTGAAACAGTACATATTTTATGCATGCATTGTTTAGTAAATTGATTTTTTTGTCCCCCGCTTGAAAAGTGGGGGATATTAATTTGGGTTTGTCCGTCCGTCCGTCCGTCCGTCTGTCCGTCCGTCCGTCCGTCTTTCTGTCTGTCTGTAACGCTTTCGTTTCCACACGATATTTCGAGAACCCTTTGAGCTTTTGCAATGAAATTTAGCATAGCAACTCCCTATGGACTAAAGAAGACCCCTATTGATTTTTAGGTCTAAAGGTCAAAGGTAAAGTTCATAACTACGCAATTTCTGTCTTATTAAACACTTTCGTTTCCACACGATATCTCTAGAACCATTTGAGCTATTGCAATGAAATTTTATATAACAACTCCCTGTGGCCTAATAAAGACCCCTATTGATTTTGAGGTCAAAAGGTCAAAGTTCAAGGTCGTAAATTTATACATTCTGTCTGTGTGTAATACTATTATTTCCGGGCAATATTTCAAGAAGATTTTGAGCTTATGCAATGTAATTTATATCAAAACTTCCTAGGACGTCTCTCGCCCCTCTCAAAGTGCCCCGCCCCCTTTGTTTTATTAGTATTTTTAGTATTTATAGTATTAATTACATGTCGCTATTTTTAGCGCAGGGGCATGAGGAGAGTTATTGCGTATAAAACAGGTTCTCGGCGGACTTTATGTTCTTATTACATCTATTAGAACTGTTTAATAAAGGCTAAATAAATCAAACACCATGGATTGTGTAAAATTTTGAGAATACCGAACATGAAAACATGAATATATAACATGTATCTGACTTCACTTCCGCATATATACTTCTCACCAGGTAAAGCGATTCCGTGGTCCAGTGGTTATGTCTCTCGCCTGAAATGTGAGAGGTCCCGGGATCGAATCTCGGTCGAACCTTTCTTTTTTTTTTTCTTTTTTTTTTTCAAATACTTTTTTTTTTTTTACTAAATGATAGTATTCAGCATGTGAAATGAAAAATTTATGAGGTTATAAAATCATCATTACAGTGTTATAAAAAGTCCATACAAAAAAATCTTCTATGCACATAATGAAGAATAAGCATCTTTATATGCATATTGACATACATGTATTTCATTTGCTTCAGTATACATGTATACATTTAATAATTCTACAAATTCAGTCAGGGGGAGCCGACTTTTTCCCTAAGCGGGGGACACGAATTCTCTGAATTAGCTTGTTTTATATACTTACCAGTTGATAAAGGAACTCTTTCCAGCTGAGTGGTTGCCAATAAGGAGGACCGAGATCTTCTTTCTGGGTGCAAGCAATGTCAGGTCCAAACTCTCTGCTATCTTTATAAGGCCTTTAAAATGGTACAGAAAAAATAAATGTCACACATTGGAAAGAGCAGTTTTCAATGAAATCTAAAAATTTTACTTTATAAACAATGTCTTAATGAGGCAGAGGGTGGGTGGGGGATTGATTAAAAATTGTGTATCATTAAACTTATGCATGTAATTTATCAAAAAACTGCTGCATAAAATTTATTTCTCTAACTACCATGACATTTTTTTTCGGACATTTTGTATCATATTTTACAAATTCTATATAAAAGGGATAAATCCTCTCTTTAAAATAATATTTTCATCTTAATAAACAGACCCCCCCCCCCCCCAAGAGAATATCTTCCAAATGAATTCAATCATGTTGATGAATGGAAAGTGACAGCATTACAATACCAGTTTACATGAATATGCTTCAGTTCCTGTTTCAGAATGACCCTTTCACACTACAAAATGATCATCTTTACATCCTTCTATGGAATGATATAAAGATATACATGTCTTAACAAGAGGACAGTCTACTTTTGGAAAGATTTGAATTCTTTTCTGCTAAGTGGTGAAATATATAAATGTATATATACATTTCATACATTTCCCTTCATTTTATAGTACTTGTTTCAATGTTCATTGCTATAATTGAAATAATGAAGGGTCAATTAAACATGACCACTGTCCAATGATTCTTTTTTTTTTTTTTGTTGGAGGGGAGAGTTGTTCTAACAATTGTTAGGCGTGTCCACACCTTGTTTTTAGATATATACTATAAATGTAGATCTTATATGTTTTTGTGAATCCTTCATCGTCAAAAAATGAACAAAAAATATTTTTTAAATTTTGAAATCCATTAAAACCACCTGATCAAAATTGTTTGACAAATTAAAAGTATTTGGCAATTCAGCAAATCCCATCTTTCCACCTCATGAATTGTTGACTTGTGTTCACACCCACATGACTCAAAATGTTGTATACTCACCTGTAATACTGCATGTGAACAAAGAGGGAGACTTTTCCCATTGATTTTTTTCCTCAGAATGATAAATGACTGTACTAGCATTATAACCTCTATGAAAATTTTCAAGAAAATATTAAGTGAAGACAGCTATTTGAAGGTCATACAGTACTATGAGTCATCATTCATCCAGACACATTCACAACCTGCTGCAATGATGCATCAACTCATCGATCCCCTTTCCTTTTTTTCTCCATTGTTCATGTTCTTTCCAAGATTTTTTTCTTGAAATCCTGCCAAGATGTCACCAAACAAGTACTATTTTCGCCATGACTGACCACGTCAAAATAAAGAAAGCTGCATAGACCAGTCTGAATTGATCAGACAGGATTATATTTAGAACATGCTCGGCGGGGTCAATCCAGTATTTGGACAGGTCTTTCATAATAACCGCTTAAAATAACGTTTTCCTTTGCCATGTTTAAAGATATGCTTTTTATCTTCACAAATTAAAAAACGCATTAACTGAAAATTCAAGAAAAATCTCGAATAATACTTCTCAAAACGTAAAAGTGCCGAGTCGGCTAAATGAATGAAATGACGGAAATTCACCGGCCCATGCCCTTGTGAATTGCATAAGTAATTTTTAAAACGAAGTCTGCTCTCAAATGAAATAAAACTTGCTCACCATTATCCGGTTCTGTGTAGAGGAAATGGCATTCTTTAAGAATCTTCTCGTTGGTTGACTGAGTCGACGAGTCCGCGGCAGTCGCCGACGATTTCTGCTTAACTTTGCCAGACATCTCACAACTCCTGTCAAGTCGAGCAGACAGTTTATTGAGCCCGACTGGATAGTACACTTCATTCCCGACAACAGGAAGCGACTTTATGAACGTTTTCATGGGAATAAATGTACTCTGATATGAAATAAATAAGCTAATATTTGTTCGTATACTTTTTTATCTTTAACATTTGTATTTTCATATTAAAAAAAGATTCGATGTTTTCATCTACACCATTTGTGTATATTAAGAATTTTGCAATATTTTAGAAATACCCTTCGGTTCTCAATTCCACGGCGACTTCCGTCAGCTGATCGGAGAATGATCCGAAGTGAAAAGATGCAGAAAAGATGTCTTTTATCGATGAAATATTGATTACTCTTTCAAATAAAGCATAACTTTAAGTACAAAAGCATGTCATCTATTATTTTCACGTATTTACTATTATTTTACCATGCTTACCGATGACGGTGCATAAGCCGGTATTTTCCGCGAATCCTACTGAGAATTTGATTCACTTCGAAACTGAGGTAAACAAATATGGCGTCTCTTGTACCAAATTATGGTAGTGATGAAGATTCATCTTTTACGGATTCAGATGATAATGTCACATTGTCAGCGACGTTAGTATTGATTCTTATTTGGATAAACTTGTATGATTTGCCACGTACAATCCATACCTGAATTTATAGTGACATTTAAGCCCAATTTAAAGACTATTTCTTCCTACCCAACGTTATAGGTTTTTAGCTCACCTGAGGTGAAAGCTCATGTGAGCTTTTCTGATCACCTGTTGTCCGTCGTTCATCCATCTTTAAACTTCTCACATGTTGAACTTCTTCTCAAGAACCACGGGGCCAATTTTTACCAAATTTGGAAGAAAGCATCCTTGGACAAAAGGGAGTTTAATTATGTTAAAATGAAGGGACATGTCCCTTTTCAAGGGGAGATTATCACGAAAAGCCAGAAAAAGCTTTAACTTGTGAAAAAGCATCCTGGGATAGTGTAGATTCTATAGTAGTCAATCATGACCCCCCAGAGGATAGGGTATGGTTACATTAGGGATTTCAAGTTTTACAATAAAGTATATAGGGAAAATCTTGAAAAATCTTCTTCTCAAGAACCACTGTGCCATTGAAGCTGAGACTTACATGTATGTGAAAGCATCCTGGGGTAGTGTATATTCTAAATTGTTGTTCAAATCATGACTTCTGGAGGTAAGGTGGGGCAATGCAGGGCTCTCAATTCTCTAAATCTGGGGCCGATATTTGGCCCTGTTCCCAATGCAAAAAAAGTACCTTTTTTCCCAAAAGAAAGGTGTAAAGAGGTAGAGCCACTTTGGGCCTTATTTGGTCCTGAGAATTTCTGAAAATTCAAAACCGCTCAGTTTAGGTTGCAAATGCAGTATTTATCACTTGGACTGTTGGTGACCACGTATCTATTTATTGTGACGTCATTTCACATCTAGTCAATGCATTATGATGTCATAAAATGCGTCATTTTCCTCATATCCTGTAAATTCCTTTGAAAATGACCTAAAGTTGAAGCTTTTTTCAATATTTCATATAGAGCACAACCTCTGATCCAAAATATGCCAATACATAATGAAAGGCCTATTTCTGAAGATAAAAAAACATGTTTTATTTTTTGGATCGTGGGCTGTGCTGATATTTTAATTCTTTGCTAAAGGTAGTCAAAAACGCATATTTTCTGCAAATTTCAAGAACATTGCAATTTCTCGAAGCCTGTTTTCAAATATTTGGATTCTCAAAACGAAATTTCATCATAGAACATGAAAGCACCAAGTGTCTATTTTATTTTGATATATGAAAATGGAAAGAGGGTGATAGTTAATTAATTGATATAAATACAGGGCCATTTTATGCATAAGATGACTCTTGCTCTTTCCCAATTTCCATAGCAAAAAATTAATTAAAAAATAAAAGTCCATGAAACTTAATCGCAAAAAAAAAAGAAACCCAAACAAAACACACTTGCAAATGAAAGTGAAACTGTACTACTATTTTATTAGTTCGCGCCAAATGCATTCGTAAACTGGTTCGGGGAACCAGGTTATTGTTTTTACAAAAATGTGTACTAACTATGAGTGCAGAGTATCTTGTCATGTAGTTTCGACAAATTACATTTTGGTTTCAAAAATAGACATTTCATTTAAACATTAGTAAGCTGCACCTAGAAACATACCCACGCTTCGGCATGTTCAGTCTCGCACTGTATTGGTAAGCAAAGTTGTCCATGTGATCAAGGAAATTCGGAACTATGTGACTAGCGACTCTCACTCATAAAGACATAAAACCGCAATATCAACTCTCAAAGATAGTATTGACAAAGCTAATGTACTTTCATAAATAGCCTACGCACCCACGTTTGTTCTGTTTAATTGTTTATTCAAAACCAGGGTTAAATTGATGACAAAATGCTAGAAAAGCATAATTTGAGGATTTTTTTTCATGAATTTTGGTTATCCATTTTCCCCAAAATGACGATAATTTTCCCAATTTGAACGGCCCCGGCCCCAGTCCCAAAAAGTGGTGTGAGAGCCCTGCAATGCCAGGAATTCAAAGTTCAACATTGAAAATTATAGGTAAAATTTTAACGAATCTTCTTAAGAACCACTTTGCCAATTCATATCATGTCTTTAAGGGGTAGGACCAAATATACTCAGGTGAGTGATTTGGCCCCTGGGCCTCATTGTTTTCCGAAAAGGGCCTTTGAATGACACCAATAATGGACAGTCAAGAGTCCTGCAATGCTACAAACTAAATTTGTTTGGATGTCTATTGCTATATAATGAAGTAGGCATATTCCCATTCCCAAGTAACTGCAAACTATATTTTGTTCAAACATGCATGGATTTTTTTATTCTCTTATCCGTAACTCCTCTTATACCACTGAATGAAATTTGATGAAACTTTCCAAGTAACATATTGCCATTGTGCAACTTTTACTATATTTTGTAGCAAAACATGGACACTGCCATTTATACACATATGCATGGATTTTCATTTAGGGTTGTACACAATCAGAATTCTTTCAATTGTTGTATTTGACCTACATTTTCTGGAATGTATATTCTTTGATATAAAAGCAGATTTTTTGTAAGTGAGTCTATTTGTCAAGTCAATGTATTGGTATGATGGTTTTTGATGAAATTGCTGCCCATATCACCTAATAATGAAAAGATTCAGTTTTGCATTCGATGAAATTTTCTCAAAATGATTTTAGCTTACCTGAGCTGCAAGTTCAAGTGAGCATTTCTGATAAAAATTAGTCTGTTTTCTGTTGTTGCCATGTAAGTTTTACTTTTCATCTCACCTGAGCTACAGGCTCAAGTGAGCTTTCTGAATGAAATTTGTCCATTGTCTGTCTTTGTAGTAATTGTTGTTGTTGTAAACTTCTCACATTTTCATCTTCTTATTAAAATCCACTGGGCCAATTTCAACCAAACTTGCCACAAAGAATCCTTAGGTTAATGGGATTCAAGTTTGTTCAAATGAAGGGCCACACTCTCTTTAAAGGTGAGATAATTTTAGATATAATGAAAATTTGGTGGCATCTTTTAAAATTCTTCTTCTCAAGAAATACAGAGCCGAAAAATTTTAAACTTATAGGAAACCTTTTAAACAGAGTGTAGATTCAAGTTTGTTCAATTGATGACTCCCAGGGATAGGGTGGGCCACAATGTACCCATTGTACCCATATCCTGTCCTTGGGGGTCATGATTTGGAAAAAAAAATAATCTTCACTATCTGAGGATGCTTCATGAACAAACTTGAATCTACACTATGTAATGAAGTTACACACAAATTTCAAATTTTTTGCCCTTAAATAAACTTGAATTTCCTTCACCCAAGGATCCTTTTTAACAAGTTTGGTTGTAATTGGCCCAGTAGTTCTGGAGATGAAGTTGAAATATAAAAGTTTGCAGAAAGATTACAGACAAAATGTGATCAGAAAAGCTCACTTAATCTCTCAGCTCATGTGTGCTAAAAACTAGGTGATATCAAGGATGAGATACTTTAAAAATACTGTTAATTCAAAAATTTTTGTGGGGGGGTTAATTTTCGTTGTTTTCGAGGTATGAAGAGACCCACGGAATCATGTCCACCACGAAATGTAAAATGCTACATACATAACTAATCAACAATTCTTCGTCCACGAAATCAAATCCCCACAAACCAAGAGTTTTTACTCAAACCATGAAAATTTGTCCCCTCAAAAATATGTGATTTTATTGTTGTATATGTTGTTCGTACATCCAAATCACTCTGACATATCCATGGTTTCAGAGATACATGTATCGGTGTTCAACTTGATCTTGAATCCTTGGATTTCTTGAACATTTATCTTGGTCCCATGCAGTCGAGTTAAGGTTTGATTGTATTATACATGTATGAAAATGTCAGAATATATTTGATTGATTTTTCCATTCCTTTTCTCAGGACAGAGAAAGACACTGAAGACAAAGCAAAGCAGAATTTCTTTGACGCCGGTGCAAGTAGTTCATCAGAAGAAGAGGACAAAGATGATATAAAAACAGATGAAAAGAACCGTCTTCCTAATCCACTGCTAGGAGGCCTCCCTCAACCAGTGTTTGATGCGGACAATGATAGGGAACTACTCTCTGTGTTCACAAATCCTTATGAAAAGGCAGAACAAGCTAAAAATACTGTCCTTGAAAAACATGTGAAAATGGTCGAAAGGAATATTCCTAAGGGAAAAGCTGGGCAAGTCTGCTTCAAGTACAAGAAGGGAAAGTGTCCGTATGGGAAAAATTGTAGATATTCTCATGATTTGAGTTCAGAACTGATTTCAAAACCCCAAGTAATGACAGAGGAAAAGTCAGTGTTTGATTTACATCACCATTCTGTTACTGTGCAAAAAATTGAACCTGAGCTTGAAGATGATGACAATTATATGGCAAATGCCAAAAGGAAAAAGAGATCTGGAATTACGGACAACTTACTGCCTCCAAAAAGAGCTCTAAAATCACTAGATAAACAAAGACAAAGTGAAAGGCCGTGGACTGTTAACAATTAATAAATTCAATATAATAGTCTTTTAATTAATTGTTTTTTGAATGATGTATCTACTAATTATGCCATATACCAGTTAAGTGCAATAAAATTTCCTTAATTACAACATTTAAAGCATATTACTGATAATATAGTAAACACTGTGAGAGAATTACTTTGGCATGTCAACTTGAGACAGTTTCAAAACAGACTTCATTATCCAGGTTATAAATTACCGCCATGCTCATTTTCTTGGAAAAAATGATTTTAATGTTTTTGGAGACCATCATAAACATATTTTGATTTGATTGATATACAGACTGTATGCCAATCCATATTTTTATCTCACCTTAGACTTCCAAGCGAGCTTTTTGATTGAAGAGTGCCTGGCATTTATGTGTCATCTGTAAATGAACACTCTATGTTTCTGTACATATCTGTGGGTTAACACTTAGGCTTTCTTGGGATACTGGATGTGTTCTACATTTTCCAGATGAGTAACTAGAGTAATGTTTTTCAAGTACTTCAAATATGTGGCTTGTTATGATGAGACTTTCCTGGATGACACATCTCAGGAATAAAGATGGACACTGCCTGACTTACCAGACACTGGAACTGACTTACATTTTCTGGATGAGTGAGCATGTTTAAGATTTTGAAGCAGGTCTATTCCCAAGTAACTACAAGCCATAGTTAGACTGAACTTGTAAAGATACTGATCTTGGGACATACAAGAACTAGAAAAAAAATGTAGTTGAGATTTGCCTTACTTATAAATAATATTCACTGAGATAAATTTTTTAATCTTTAAGTATCATGACAATTCTCATATTTTTTTCTAGTTAGTTTACATCCTGAAATCAATATCCATGCAATTTTGGTTGTTCCAACCTCTAGTCTGGAAGTGTCCATCCTAGATGCATCATCTATGCAAGTTTAATCATAACAGGCCACAAAACTGCAAAACTATTGCAAAAACATTACAACCCTGGTCACTCTTCTGGAAAAGTAGGTCAGATTCAGCATCCAATGCTGGTCTGGAAGTGCCTCCATCCCTCTATACAACATCCATGCTAATTTGGTTATAGTATTGCTTAACTTAACTCATCTGGAAAATGCAGGTCAGATTAGCATGCAAACAGGTTGTGAAGTGTACATCCTATAGTTGTATCAGCCATGAAAGATTGGTCAAAGTAGGGCATTTAGTTACTTGGAAATGGACCTGTTCACTCATCTGGAAAACAGACCTGCTCTAAAAACTTTAACCTGGTTACTCATTTGGAAAATGTAGGTCAGGTCCAGCATCCTAAGAAAGTCTGGTAATGTCAATCTTAAAATGCACCTACCATGCAAATTTAGAACTTGGAAATGGACCTGCTACAAAAACTTGAACTGGTCACTCATCTGGAGAATGTACTCAGAAGGTCAGTTCCAGCACCCACAGCAAGTCTGGTTGTTTCATCTGTCACCATCCATGCAAGTTTTGTTCAGAAAGGGCTTATTAGTATCTGGGAACGGACATCCTAAAACTTTTACTGGGATGTCAATGTTGGGGATATACCTTACAATAAGCTTAAATCTAAACTTCATCAACATTAGCTAAAAATTTTCCTATACTTTCATAATACATTGTTCAACAAGAGGCCCATGGGCCACATCGCTTACCTGAGTAACTTGGGTGATGCAGTTCTTTACCAGATTTCCCCTCTTGCTATACCTATCGTGCCGCCCTACCCCCTTCCTTTTCATGATTTTAACACTTTAGAATCTGTACTACCACATGCAGGATGCTTCCACATAAGTTTCAGCTTTACTGGCCCAGTTGTTTTTGAGAAGAAGATTCTTAAAAGATTTTTCCTAAATATATCTATGTAAAACTTTGATTCCCTATTGTGGCCCCGCCCTAACCCCGAGGGTCATGATTTTAACAATTTAATATATACACTACCCAAGGATACTTCCACATAAGTTTCAGCTTTCCTGGCCAGTGGTTCTTGAGAAGAAGATTTTTAAAGATTTGTTCTATACATTTCTATGTAAAACTTGGATTCCCTAGTGGCCCCGCCCTAATGATTCAAATTAATATCTAGATGCTTCCACTTAAGTTTCAGCTTACCTGGCTTAGTTGTTCTTGAGAAGAAGATTTTTAAAGATTTGTTTTATATATTTCTATGTAAAACTTGGATTCCCTATTGTGGCCCCGTCCTACCTCCAGGGGTAATGATTTTAACAAATTAATATCTACACTACCCAAGGATGCTCCCACTTAAGTTTCAGCTTTCCTGGCTTAGTGGTTCTTGAGAAGAAGATTTTTAAAGATTTGTACTATATATTTCTATGTAAAACTTGGATTCCCTATTGTGGCCCTGCCCTACCCTTGGGGGTCATGATTTTAACAATTTAATATCTACATTACCAAAGGATGCTTCCACATAAGTTTCAGCTTTCCTGGCCCAGTGGTTCTTGAGAAGAAGATTTTTAAAGATTTGTTCTATACATTTCTATGTAAAACTTGGAATCCCTATTGTGGCCCCGCCCTACCCCCGGGGGTCATGACTTTAACAATTTAATATCTACATTACCCAAGGATACTTCCACACAAGTTTCAGCTTTCCTGGCCCAGTGGTTCTTGAGAAGAAGATTTTTTAATGACCCCACCCTATTTTTGTCTTTTCTTGATTATCTCCCCTTGTAATGAGACTTGGCCCTTTATGTTAACAATTTAAACTCCTCTTCACCGAAGGATGCTTTGTACCAAGTTTGGTTAAAATTGGTCCATTGGTTCTTGAGAAGAAGTTGAAAATGTGAAAAGTTTACGGACGGACAGACGGATGGACGACAGACAAAATGTGATCAGGAAAGCTCACTTGAGCCTTCGGCTCAGGTGAGCTGAAAACTGTATGCGATTTTTTGTTGGCAGACTAACAAACATACATAAAACTGTTCCAATTTTACTGCATATTTAGCTATCAACACCAGTAGTAAAAATAATTTAATTTAATATAACAGAAATGACAGGGGAAAAAAATGTTTACAATAGTTTTATTTAAGCTGTTAAACAAGCCTGCATTAACATGATGCATCATACAAAGGTCTCTGAGATAAAATTAAGTCTTTCTTAAATTCATTGTTTTTATCTATACATATAGTCTGCCTGAAGGTTGGCTGCTATCTCCACTTCCCATTTGTCTCCATTACTCAGAAGCTTTTCTTTGTTATACAGAAGCTCTTCATGAGTCTCGGTGGAATATTCAAAATTGGGGCCCTGCAAATAAAGCATACAAATTATTATTAACATTTGTGCCTCCCCCCATTCAGAATATAATGAATGAATAAATTTATAAAGGAAATAACGATACAGAGAAACCGACCTTAAGGGGAGACAGGACACATGTCACATGACTCAAAAGACATATTACGTCATAGTCAATGCTGATATACATGTTAAACGTTGTTAAAATCAACAGCTCTTGTGTAATTTTATTCTAAAATTGGTTTTTAAACATTTATTTTCAAAAATAAATATTTAAGATTTATAAAGATCTTGTCAACATTTAGATATTGTGAAATTGCCAAATCCACACATCCATTTCTCTTTACCTTGCAGTCTGATGTCAGTGACGTCATAGACGTAGTATTTGAATTCACAGTGCAGCGAGATCAAGTACACATTAGCTACACCCGTCATGATCAATTTTATTTCATAATAAACAGGTCACAGTCAATGCATCGTGATAAATTTCTGAAGCAGAATTTTTAAATTAATATTTTTTCATGTTTAGTAGCAGAGATTCTCTCTATTTAGATAATTTTGCGTGCCTTTGTTTTCGTGTGACGTCACAATTGATTTCTCGCACTCGGAAAATGCAAACGTGAAGCGTTTTTATCATGCATACGTCTAATTCAACGGTGTCCTGTGCGATATTGAGGTAAGCTTCACCCTTCGATATTTATGCAGTTAATAATTACGATGAAGGACTGACATTCAATCGTAAATTTAGCAATATTTATTGACAGAATTTTTTCCAAAATGAGGTTTTTGTTGTTGAAGCTGCCTTGAAAAATTAAGAAATTATCCCACCCAAATACTATGTGAAATTAAAACAAATGCTTTCAGATAATTTAAACACTATGAATATTCTAAAATATTTGAGTATATAGTGTTATCAAACATATTTATTATTTGTGCGCAAAAATTTGCATTATGGACTCTGTAATGGACCCGTAAACATGAAGTATCGAATCTCCATACAAACACTACACAGGGCGATATTTGTGAGGCGATACCTTTTAAATTAGTCAAGAAATCTCATGACAGGACCAGTTTAAAATGTTAAGTACATATTAAATTAATAATGTAAGAAATACGAAAAAAATTCATTGACAGGAATTTTTTCAGCTCAAGGTCCTGTTCCTCCTTAAATACACAAAACAAATATCTTTTCCGTAGCAATTTTTGTTGAGTAACATTTGAGTGAACTGGCCTGGTCTAAATTAGCTTGAAGTATAAACTTACCCAGTAATTAAATCAAAGATATGTTCATATCTAAGTTATTGTAATGATAAATTGGGATAACCCCCCCCCCCTCCAAAAAAAAAAAAAAAATGGCAAGTATGATGGTATTTGCTAATATGAACAATACCATATACATGACTGTACAATTATCAAATGTACTCCATTACAGAAAAGGATGATTATTCAAACTAATTCATCATAAATACAATGAAGATCCATTTGAATTCAAACAATAAATGTTTTATATACTTTTGTTTTGAGCTTTTAAGAAATTACAAATGAATGTACTTGAATCCTACCAATGTTACAAGAGGGAAATTAATTATTCATGCAAACATTTACCCTTGGCAATTCAATAACAAGCATATTTCATGTATATAAATTGCAGAGTTGTAGAAACACTCTTTTCTGATCAATTAGGCAAAGAGCACTTCTAAAATTCAACCGATGCCAATATCTGTAGCAATTTATTTGAAGCTATATAATCCATCCAAAGTTGGGTCTCAGAACTCTCGTAAGTAAAAGTATAAATTTAATATCATTACACTTCTGCAGAATTATTCCATCACTGTAATTTATAGGTTAATGATTTGTGAATTTTAAAAGCTAACCTCCACAATGGCGTCTACAGGACATGCTTCCTGGCAGAATCCACAATAAATGCATTTTGTCATGTCGATATCATATCGTGTCGTCCTCCTACTGCCGTCTGCTCGCGTCTCTGCCTCAATCGTGATGGCCTTCAACACAAGATATGAAATCCAACTTTTTGTAAATTGCACATTGACTGGCAAAAACAGTCTGGATTCAAATTTTCATTTTGAAAATATTAGGGCAAAAAATCTACATGTACAACTACAAGTGACAATCACATCATTATACTCCCTAATCCTCAACTGAATTTCACTCGTACTGTTTGAGTCCTTCAACACCCATATAACTATTTTCATAAATGCACTCAAAGCTATATTCCAATAGATACAGTAGTGTATAAATATAATACTATACCTGAGCTGGACAGATAGCTTCACACAGTTTACAGGCGATACATCTCTCCTCTCCCGAGGGGTACCTTCTCAGAGCATGCTCCCCACGGAATCTCGGACTGAGGGGACCCTTCTCAAAGGGATAATTCAGAGTGGCTGGTTCTTTGAATATCATTCCAAGCACAGTTCTCATACCTATAAAATCAAACAGAAAATGTCAGCAGGTCCTTCAAAATATTTTTTTCTATGTGAGAATCAATCTGATTAAAATCAGATCATCATTACACTCCGAAATACTGTTGGTCGCTGATTTTAATCAGACTGAGTGAGAATGGAGCATTTTCCTTTAACTTGGACACTGGTGAAGGAAATAAAGCATAAGGTCATTTTGATTGTGTAAAGGTGAGCTTAGCATGCTTTGGGAAATAAAAAAAATAAAATACACACCTGTCACACATGTATGCTACTTACCTGCAATAATTTCCTGGTAAAAAGAAATCATAACAAATCTGTTTGTCATAGCCTCAATTGTAACTTCTGGTTCCTTCCTTGATACAACAACTGAAAAAAAATATCCATCAGAATATTCTATAGTACATAAGATTGTTCAAGACATGGAAAACTAGTTCTTAGTATTCTGATGTATTCTTAGACTGCATGCATATGTACATCGATTATGATAACATATTTCTGGACATCATTATCAGTGGCAAAAATATTTTTCCCATTATATCATTTCTAAAGAGAAATGGAACTGACCATATTTGTTTTTATTTTGGGACACTGAGAATGGCCTGGCAGCTTGACCAATGACTCTACTGGGCTGACCTGTAAAGATAAAAGGTATTTATCACTTTTGATGACATTAAAAATCTATTGTAAATCTAAGTATCTAAAAACAAAATGACTGTATTTCACTTTTTTAACAAGAATCAACAGTCAACTGGTCAGAAAAACATTTACTTGTCCACAAATTATATTCTAAATTCAAACCATCTCACACAGTGACATCAATAATTAGAATTCTAGTCTATTCAACTTTCCAATAATATATTAATGATTTTAAATTTAAATGTTATGAATTATTTTTTTTTTTCAGAAAAGGTTTTAATCTGTAGTGAATAGCAAAAACAGAACGAGCTATGCATTCTTCTCTGAACACCTAAAAACTAAAATTAAATATCCATAAATGATAAATGTTAAACATGTTAACAGCAACCACTGATGATATGCAATCATGGAGTGATTTTTTCAACAACAACAATAAAAACCAGAAGTCTCTGTCAAGACTGTAGCTCTTCTGCTTTGTACTTATAATAAAGGAAGAGAAAAGTAGCAGTTGGGACTTAAAACTTTACAAAAGCAACAATTAGAATGATGATATTTGATAAAGTCTCTTTTTGTGGCAAGATTGCAATAAGACTACAACTGTAGGAATAACTTTTAATAAAACTTTACAGAATTTTCAATATTAGTTACCATGGCAACATCAATTATCATAATCAAAAAAACAAAACAGAAAATTATATATCTCAATGTAGTCTACTTGCATGCCAAATTATATTATAATCAGACTAAAACTGTAGGAGAAGTTGCATTTTTAAAGTATTTCACAGAAATTTCTATTTTTAGTAATCATGGCAACATCGTTCATTGAAATAAAAAACACCCGATATTATAGGGTTATTGAACTTATATTGGTGAATACTAGCACAAATTGGCTATGCAAACGCACAAGCTTGTGAACTCAGCTTGCGAACTCGTGCATTTGTACAGCCAACAAGTGCCAATATTCACCAATAAAAGCTCAGTAACTCTTTTATTATATAGCTAAATCATTTCCTCATAATTTATAATAATCATTCCAACGTAAAAAAAAAAGCTCAAATTAATGATTTTTTAGTATCCCTATTCAAATCAACGCCTGTCCTGTTAGTGTTCAATATCATATCATTCCGATGACCCTACCGAGCGTTATGATTTGCTTATTTAGCCTAGGTTTCAATGGGTCTAATATGTACTAAATTTTAATAAATAATTTCATTTTTGTGTAAAAATAAACACATCTTACCTAGATGCCACTTCCTTCTTTAATTTAACTCTGAGAATTTGACCAGACAACTTTTTTGTTTACAACGGGGCGTTCGATATTGAACGCTCGTATTTGGAATGCTTCAGGCATACTCGTATATGTAATACAAACTCAGCATTCAATAAATCATCATTCAAGATATTGAATGTTAAAATTCTCTAAATTTTTGGTAGTATTTTATTAGAGACAATTCATTAGCTATATATTAAATAGAATTATGTATCTAAGTGTAGTCTACTTAAGTGCCAAGTTATATTGAAATCAGACCAAAACTGTAAGAGGAGTAGCATTTTAAAAGTATTTCACAGAAATTTCTATTTTTAGTACACAGCAACACCGTTCATCGAAATCAAAAACTGATTCACAGAATTATGTATCTTAGTGTAGTCTACTTGTGTGCCAAGTTATATTGAAATCACACCAAAATTGTAGGAGGAGTAGCATTTTAAAAGTACTTCACAGAAATTTCTATTTTTAGTAACCATGGCAACACCGTTCATTAAAATAAAAAATTATACAAAAAATAATGTATCTTAGTGTAATCTACTTGGATGCCAATTAAAAGTTACATTGAAATCAGACCAAAACTGTTGGAGTAGCATTTTGAAAAATTGTTTACAGACAGACAGACGGACAGACAATGGACACATTACTATCGCATAAGCTCTTCTGGTCTCTGACCAGTAGAGCTAAAAATTGTACATTTAATTTTAAATTGTAGTAATACATGCATGTATATCTTAAATCAAGAATGTCTATATCTAGCCCTGAAAGAAGATACCAAGATACACTTAGAATCAAGAGGTCTCCACATATTAGATCATCCTAACAGAAAATAAATCAACTCTCCAGATTTTTTTTTTTCGGAAATCTACTGAGTACTGATTTTGAACTCTTATCCAATACTTGTTTATCATGTCTACTGATAAATTCTTTTTATCCAATTTCTATCAATATCTTTTAAGATATTAACATTAAGATCTTTAACAATTCATTTTGTATTTTAACATTTTACAATCTTCCTTGTGGAAAAATGATGATAGTTCAAAGTTTTAACAGTCGTCATTTGTTGCATGTATATTGACAGTGAAAACAGGGATTGAGGAAATCAACAAGGTGTCAACTGTACCACCATATTTTGCAGACATGCTAAATATGAAATTTTCAAAAATATGTCTTAGAAAATGACAATGAGATATAAACTATAGCAACCTGTACACAATTACAATTTTTGTCTTATCAAAATGATTTCGAAAACATGTTTATAGTTATGCAAGGTTTGGAAGAAAGAGAGGAAATTCGAACGCAAATATGAAGGTGATTAGCGGACATAGCATACTGAAAAGTTTAATCTACACAACAGCCTAGCAGTCATAACGCAAAACGGAATAAACATATGATTGTTAATGCAATTTAACACCTTACCTCTTGATACAAGAGAAAATAACAGTTTTGTTGCCATTTTGGCATAGGTCCCCAGAATGTATCCAAATCCCGATCCCGACGGTGATTTTTAGAAAGGTAGTAGTTTTCATGAACTCTGGTGACGTTTTTAAAAATAGAAAACTGATTCAAATAAACATTGTTGTCTTTTTTTAAATTTGAGCTACTGTTAACATCAATAATAAATGTTGATTCTCAAATGAAGTTCCTGAAATTTTTTTTAGTCGGGATTGTAATACACTTAATTCGAGTGTGACTAAAATGGGTAGCGAAACCCGGGCCGGGCCGGGATTTTCGATAACGAAAACCGGGTTTTTGATAATCTCGAAATAAATACTCATTCTTTCTTCATGAAATTTACGGACATAGTTTATTATTCTATCGCTGAAAGTTTTAGGTCAAAATGTTGTGTTTTTAAATGATTTTCACCGATTGTCCTTTTCCAAGTGACTAAAATGGGTAGCGAGCCCGGATTACTCATTTGGGCGATTTAAACTTAATTTCGGCAGCATATTCACAATTATTTCATTTGGGTCTTTGAAATTGAACTTAAACTACCTAAAACATTTAACTGTTGCAATAATAAATCACGATTATTGAAAATACACGCATTTTTTTGTGTACCCGGGATGTCAAAACCGGATTTTTTTATTTCCGAATTTATCAGATAATGACATATAATTTGATCTGACTCTTTTCTGCTTTGAAAATTTATATTAATTTTTTCCAATTTATTTCTTAGATGTATCTCGGTCAGGGACTGAAAAAAATCCACATTCTGTCTCTGGCAATCCGGAATTTTATAATTTGTCCCGGGCAAACGCGTCCGGTTTTGACCCGTCCCGGGTCTATGAAAAATGACAAAAACCCTCATAATTGACATTTTATTTCATAATGATTGAACAATTTAACTTCTTGAAGTTAATAAACAACCATTTAATGCAAATATCACAAACACTTTCGATGCATTAAGCTTAAAATCGCCAAAATGAGTAAACCGGGCTCGCTACCCATTTTAGTCACCTGGAAAAGGACAATCGGCGATAATCATCGAAAAACAAAACATTTTGACTTAAAATTCCCAGCGAAGGCAAAACGTATACTTATAAACTATGTCTGTAAATTTCATGAAGAAAGAATGAGTATTTATCTTGTAATTATTAAAAACCCAAATCTCAGTTTTGAAATTCCCGGCCCGGCCCGGGTTTCGCTACCCATTTTAGTCACACTCACTTAATTCAGTTGTCAACAACCTCAGTGGAAAATGTTTGATTTATCTTTTGTAACAAAACTTCATTTTTGAGTTTATACCAGGTTTGAGTACTTTTTATTATGCTTGAGTTTTATGTTTTTATGTCTTGTTTACAAGAAATTTCGAATTAAAGTCGTATCCATTCGGTCAGCAACATTTTGTTTCATTTTCAGCAGCTGTTTCCTGTCAAAATGTTCAGCAAAGTAGATATTACCAAAAAGAACCAATTTTTGGAACAGACTAAAGCATTACGAGAAGAAAGAGCTAACGACAAACTAAAGAATGATGCAGCCATTGTCATTCAAGTATGTATAAACATCTTTTACTATTGTGGGTGAAGGCAAAAGTTTAAGATATTTAATTTGTGAATTTAATTTTATTTTCAAATCTTTTATGTTCAAGTCATTTTATCAATGAAGGTATTAATTTACTGTCAAGTTTAAGATTGAAAAAATAATTAAATTGTATTGAGGCTGTGTAGATAAGTGTGTAAATATAATTTATTTGAATGCTTCATATTTGTATAGGCAATCAGCTATGACAAATCAGTACTCGAAAGATTTGGATTTAATTCTAGTTCTGCTGATAAACAAAAGTGTATTACGGTTCAATCTTAGTTGCGTTTTACATTTCTCTTAATAAATGGCTGAATATATGAAATATGGGGATTTTTTTTTACTTTAATATAAGTTAAAAAGGTCCAGTGGTTGTATATTATATTTATCACAAAGAAATGTCTTTCCCAAAATAAGTTATATTGATTTTAATCAACATATTATGCTCTTTTACTTTTTAAAAGGATTGAGATTTTTTTGACTTCATTTGTTTTGTACGTGTTATATAAAAAAAACCAAACATGTAGCACAATTTGTATAATAGCTGCAATCTGGTCTGAAAAGGAAATGGGATGGATGACCCCATTATATGACCCCTTGATTTTTTTTTTAATTTTACAATTTATATTTATTACACTGTCTTTTCATGTTTTCAATGCGAAAAATTTAGTTAAAAGACTGAAGATAACCGTTCCATACAAAAAATACTCCTCTATACACAATATTAGAGGGGTATTCGTTTGTGAACGTGGGTGTAGCCAGAATTTTTTTTACTTAAAGACAAGCAAAAAAAAAGATAGAAAATCCTATTACATGGGGGGGGGGGTTTAAAGCCAATTTTTTTAATGCCACATGTGATGACTTGCCATTTCACGCCATTTAACTTTTTTAAAGCCAGCGTGCACAGATCCAGGGGCTCTCTTTTTATTGTCGTACAAACCAAATAACGAATATAATCGGCACGACCGTCGTGCGGATAGACACTTCCAAAAATTTAAGATATTTAATTTGTGAATTTATTTTAAAAACAAGATTTTATCATTTTCAAAACCTTCATATTTGTTAGGCAACAGTCATTTGTTTCTACACAGGGAAATATGGTCATTATTGATTGCTTCAGTGAGATTTTGAATTTGTTTTGTCTGAAAAAACCTTTAAATATTTAAAATCCACCCTTTTTTCTTTCTGTAGCAAAGAGCTAGAAGATGTGTTAGAAATTCCACCAGATCCAGGGGCAGTGTACAAACCAAAGCTCAAACCAGGTTATTAAAAACAGATTAATTTTCAAAACCATGTTACTCATCTACATGGCATTGCTTTTTTTCACCTTCATTTAGGTTCACAAGAGCCCTCAAACCTAAGAATCCTATTTCTTAATATATGGCAATGACCTTGCATATGCAATTTTTGTTAACCGAAACTAAAAAAGATTGCAAAAAAGGGTGAAAAAAAATGCACATAAACTATCTTTGGAAGGAGGGAGTATATGGTAATTTAAAAGTGTATTTTGTTAAAATAAAGTGCTACATATGATATCCAGGCAGAATGCTTTTCCTGAAACATGCAGGAGAGTGACTAAATATGATTTATAAATACATGTAATATGAATTTAATCAAAGACACCATGGTCACATGATTTGGTTCAAAATGAAAATTAAGTAAAAATTATGCACATGAATGTAAGACTTTTCCATATACATGTATTCAAATATGTATTACAAAAATCAAAGTACTCAGAAGTACAGAGAGCCGGGCTTATTTACAGAGTAGAATGGATTTCTTACATGAATCACGTTTATATTCTGATGAAAAACTTATTTTAAAACTATCAATATAAATGATAAGACAATGACAGTGAGTTTTTCATTCCTAATACCACGGTCTGATTTTGTCAGAATCAGAATTAATCTGGTACCGCAGCTGAATGTAAACAAACAGGCCAGTCTGGTTCCCTCTCCTGCTTTACCTCGTATGTGTAGAGAACTACGGTAACACTGATTATCAAAAATCCTTACGCTAATGAACTATGTTCTTTGACTTATCAAGTTTTCAAAGTTATTACTACTAATGTTTATTTTATATAGATAAAACTTCGTTTTATTTTTGTTGCTTTATTTAGCGTTTGTATTATCTCAAATGCGGTTGAGAGTAAGAACTATATTTTTGGCTTTTTTGCACGTAACTTTAAATTGGCGACTATGGGGTCAACATCCTGCCTTGAACAGGATCACATAAGCCGGCAATTGCTCTTTGAGCAATAAGCCCGGCTAACCAGTTATGAATGTAAGACAGTCATAATTTGTACAGTGCAATATGAGAAGTTGTATTCATTACGCCAATAAAACAATATGATTTAAAATGTCTAGATTTTGAATGATGAACATGTGATAAAGATTTTATTCTCTTTGCAGCACTTGAAGTGTACAAGACAATACAGAAGTTTTTCTTTGTTTTTGAAAAAGACAGAGATGCTGGGGTAATTAAGTCTGCATGTTACTACATGTATAAAGTAAAAACATGTCTATTACATGAAGACAATGCTAAAACGGAGGGTGCTATTGATATATTTGACAGTAGATTGTCTTTGAGTCATCATATAGAGCTATAAAAATATACGTTCATGTACTTCCATATGATGGTTTAAAAAAGACATTTTGACTACATTGCTAGATGTATGTGTGTATATACTTGTAGATGTGATAATATAATGTTTAATTGTAATTTTTTTCTTTATTACAGCAATTTGATTACCTCTGCAGATACCTATTGTCATCAATGGATGCAGGTGCAGATAATATGAAGGTAAAGCCAATTTTGAAAGACTCCCTTAAAATATGCTAGGTTTACACATAATATGATCAAATAAAGACATCAATTTTAGTTACATGTACTGTATAAGGAATATTATTCAAGATATTAATCACACTCCTGAGTACAGTTGTAAGTCCTACTCTTATAGACATCTATGATTGAGAAATTAAGAAATTAAATATACACTTCGTAATAATCAAGTTTCTTTATTCACAGATGTGCTATGTGTATTTAGTACTGAACAAAGATGTTGTGTTACCCTGGATTGCACAGATTAAAGAAGTTTTATGGAAGTGCTGCTCTTTTCTCAAGTCTTTGAAGGTATATTACTTAATACCAAGATGAAGTTACTTGTATGTACATATCAAAGTGAATTAATTTCTTTTTCACAAGATTGTTACTCAAATGAATGACCATGTATTATTGGTATATTAAGTAGTCATATCATAACTTACAATTACTGTAGATTTGCAAATAATTACGATGGTTTTAATTTCACTATGTCCATGATTCATCATTTTCTCACAAAACTAAAGCCATTGTGAATGCTATATTTAGTTTTTAAAATTATTTAAATGTTATGAAATTTGAATTAATTTTCTTGCAGCATGAAATTAAAACCATTGCAATTGGAACTTTCTGAGAAATCATGAAATTTTAACACCATGGAATTAAAACGACTTACAGTATATAAACCCTAAATTATATTAAACAAGTACTTGTGTGTCTTACTATTTCTTTTTTTACAGAAAAAAGGTAATGTGGTAACATAATTACATTTGTATATGTTTGTAGGCTGAGAATCATAGTGATATGAAGAGAGTCAATCTGTATCTGACTGTACTGATTACATTCACAAGTTCAGGAGGATGGAAGATTCTCAAGGGAAAACTGGGTATTAAGATTGCAAGGAATTCATCAATGAAAATAACATCTTTTAAGTTTAATGAACACATGACAGTTTTAAACCAGATTTTAATATTATGACCTTTTTAATGGACTCCGAGACTATCTACCACGAAAATCAAACTTGATTTTTTTTTTCTCAGGGGAGACCCTAACACCTGGGATGAATCAGCTGTGTAACAATATAATGGGCCATCTTAATACAAAGGGATTATATCCAGTGTTAAAGGTACCTCTGTAGAATGAAATCATTCAGTGAATCAGTCTATTTGTTTATCATTCTCAGGAGATGCTGAGCAATTTGTTTCTCCCAGTACAAGGATTAAACTTTTTATGGCTTTAAGCCAACTTTTTGTGTGTCCATAATCTGTAAAAGGTTTTCCAATCAAAAATCTTTCCTAGTAATAACTACATGTATGTAACCTTGATTAGGATAACTTCAGACTTCAGTTTGCTGTATACATCTGTGTGTACATTCATGTTTTAATTATAAAACACCTACTCATAACTAGGTACCTTATATTCTATTTTTAGGGACTTTTGGCACAAGGATTATCGAGGACCAAGATTTTGTTTAATTCTGCCACTCTGTCTGCCATTGTTAATCTGTCTCTGAGGTAAGTAAAAAAATATCTGTGACTTGTTTTAGTGCATAGTGATATAAGAAATGACAATTTACAAAGAAGAAAGCTTATTTTACTGAAAAATTTATGACTTTCCTCCAAAAATGTGAAAACAAAATGAAATAATTATTACTTTTTATCAAAAGGGAAAGACTTGTTTACTGAAGCATTTTTTTTTTTTGAGAGTTGGAAGAAATTCGCAATTAAAATCTTAGTAAAGAAGATGCAAAATGTACATGTATATAGTTTCCATGACTTTGAATCCTTTCAGGCCTTTGATTGCCTCTAACTTCTCAGAGAACCTGATGACAGTGTTTGTCCTTCACATCATGTCTGTACCAGCTCTTCTTCATCATGTGGCTGTCACGTCAGGGGAGGTAATTTATGTGAAGTCTGATCTTCCCTTGTTTCCTTATATGTTTTTGAATAGTATATGCATTCTGTGCCAAGAATCCTTCAAGTTCCTATAGAAAGTTTAAGATTAATTTATTAAAGATTAGAGACAATCAGTTGCAAAGGAATAATAACACCCAAAAATTTGATTAGGACAATAAATTCTTGTAAGAAAAATATACAAGACCTTGACCACTTATTCAACCATGGTAATTTACAATATAGATATTTAATGTGTAAGAATTATAATTTTTCAGTGCCTAAATGTCCTCATCACTCATCGTATCTTCAAACGAGCCCTTGATTTGCTGACCAATGAACAGAGCACGAGGATAATCTTTAATTCACTGGAGGGAAGTTATGCACTATGTCTACTAGGTATTGCTGAACAAGATCCCAAGAACACATTATAATAGAAATAGCAATTTCCTTGTCTTATAGTAAAACAGTAATGTATATTTAAATGCTTTTATGCACATAGATGAATTTAATAGATACAGTCAAACCTGTTTTGGTGACATATTGATTGGAATTTTTTATATACAAATCATGTAGGCTAAAGACATCCATGACAAATAGTAATTTAGATAGATTTACATAAATTACCTCCAAGGAAATCATAAAATCCATAAGATGAAAATAGAAGGAGCAGCTAAGAAATACAAAAATGTAGATTTGAAAAAGAAAAATGTGATTTTTTTTTTTTTGCGTAACAGATTTTATACCATTGGTCACCAAGCCAGGTCTGGCTATAAATAGACGTTAGGCATACACGTTTCCCTTCACCATGCTAGTGCACCATAAAAACTGAAAAATTTATAAAAGCAGTAAATTAAAAAAAGCAAGAGACTTGGTTACGATAATAAAAACTTTTTTTTATCTTTTAGCAAACTTGGTTAGTTTAGGAATGGCTGAATTAGAGGTATGTGAGAGATTTTAACATTCATTGCATTTTTTTTTACATTCGATGCCATGGTTTTCATATGCTGATTTACATTTCTGAAACAAATTGACCATTCATACATTTGAATTATGTTTTTTCAGGGATTGGTTGAAAATACTCAGAATTTTATGGTAAGTTTTGTCAATAATTCTATTATTTTAAAAGATAAATGTTAACTGTGCACTTAGATGTTATACACATAGATTATTTTCTAACTCTTAGTCAGTGGTGATTCGACTACTAGACAGCTGTAAGAAGTACGTCCTAAACAAGAAATCCAATCTGACCAGTTGGCATCTCATCCTGGGCTGGTTCTCACAGAAATCGGATGAAAGGTACACAACTAAAGCAAATTGCGCTGTTTATTTATTTATTTTTTTTTTAAAGATTTGGTGATTTCAGCAATGTTCATATAAATATTTTTATAGTATACAGTTTCAGGAAGGTAATTAGATCCTTGCTAGTATAGATAAGCTACCTGATTGGTCAATTATAAGTCACAGATAAATGGGATTGATATTTTATGAAAATCATTTACAGTACTGTGATTTACCTGATAGATAGAACAGCATCTTCCACAAAAATATACACTATATATACTATACAGCAGATCTTTCAAACCCCTGATATCTTGTAAGAACCTGAAAATGATTGTTTCTGTGCCAAAAAATATATTTTCAGCTTGAATGCAGCAATGCCACATGTAAAGGAGCAGATCAAATTGCTGTGGTCGGAGAAGATGATAAGAATTCTGTTTTCTGACCTTCTGGCTTATGTAGAGGCAGAGAGAGAACAGGCTGTAGCAAAGAAGGAACCCTCTCCCTCAAAAAGTAAGAAGTCCTTTCCCTCAATAAGTTTGGGACTTAATGCATTTTGTATTCTGATCATTTAATTTAACCCAAAGAGAGGCTCAGCACTGCATGATTTTTGGTAGTATTTTAAAGAATTTCTATTGGTGCGCTATGTGGTGTGTGTTTAGTGTCTTTGATTACCCCTGTCATATTTAAGGTACAATGAATGTCTCATTAGTGCTCCAAATGGATCTAGCAAAGGAATTTAATTTAGGGGATTCAGGCCTGAATCTTAATATTCATTTACTACCTAAAGCCATAGTTAGAAATAGAAGAATGCATAGTATTTTATTAAGTTTTTATACTTATTTTACAGACATATTGAAGAAAGCCATAGAAAAAGCCTCGTCTAAATCAACAGCTGTCAGGATAAAGCTGGAGAGTCCGTTAGCCAAGACGACGTGTTACACGTGTGCCCTGTATCAGATAATGATGAACACACTCACTCAGCTTAGAATGGACATCCTCTCAGGTCTGTCTTACGAGTTTTATAATTTTATCAATTAATGATCAAGCTTTACCAACTGAAAGAATTACAGAACATAATTATTCCTCAAGTCAAGTTTAGAAAAATTGATCATTCAGAAAAAATTGAGTTATCTGTTCTTTTGTTTTGTTTCTTATATAGATTCAAGTTTCCTAATACATGTATGTTCAATGATTAATTCTCAACAGGTATAAGTTACAATCAGGTTCTGCTGCCAGCCTTGTGGAAGTTCCTCTGTGACCTTGGCCCAAACTGTGGCCTTAAGGTGTTTATTGACCTTTTGACCCAGACCCCCAACAGTGTTATACACCCAGTGTTCAGCCTACTGACAGTATTCTGTGAGGCAGCTTCTCATTACATCATGTAAGTGCCATCTCTTAAAAGTTGTCAGTTTTATTTTTAGTGGCTATAGATGCCTTTTGGAAATGTACATGTAAATATTAACATGCTTGTACATGTACAGATTAATTTGTTAAATTTTTATTTGCGAATTGTCAGTTTGAAATGCATTCCTGATGAAAATTTTCTTGATCAAGACAATATTCTACATGGTTTACATACAAAATTAAAATGAAGTGAGCATTACGTAATGTTTGCAAGTTAAAGAAAGACATTTTAATATCAAAGGGAATAAGGTTGATGAATTGTATCAGTTTTATAACATTTTGTAGACTTATACATGTACATGTATATATCTTTAGCTATTTATAATGCAGTATATTGCTACATGTATCTCTTTTTAACATTGTAGAACACTGGATGATATGGAGATGTATGAACAACAGAAGATGTTTACATTGGATGACTACATCAGAATGAGCAAGTTTCTCAATTTATTTGTGTACAGAGTCACCTGGCACAATCTTATAGGTAAAGATTTGTATTAAGTTAATTTTTTGAGAACAGAGAGGGTGTTCACAGTATATTTAAACTTTATATAAAATATTAATCAGTATTTTTTTGTGAGAACTTTATTTTTGTGTAATAATATATGACTCTCTGCCAACAAACATTCCTTCATGCTAATATTTGTGTTATGCAAGCTTATATATATTAATCTGATATTTGTGAAAATTTTGTCTTGCTTTAAAATACCAAACAACTGTTTTTTGAGAATAATTTGTCGTAAAAATACAGGAAACAATCAACTGTATAGAATGATTATCAAATGAAAACTTTTTAGCCATAGGTATGAATTATTCTTTCCTAATTTTAATTAATTATGTCAGCTAGCTATCTTCTTTTCCTGTACATGTATTTGATGTATACGTATCAGTACATTATTATTCCTCTAATCAGATATTAGGAGTTTGGAGAGTGGGGAGTCTGATGTTTACAATGCCACACACAACCTCCTACTTCTGTTGTATGAGAGGGACTGTCGACGGCCGTACGCTGAAAAGGATCACTGGCTCAACAGGTCAGTTCACAGGAAATGGAAAAATTGGCACAAAATAAATGTACCGTAACTTAAAGTTGTCCCATATTTTTACTTTTAATTTTGTTGCAGGGACATCAAACCAACTGCATTCCTTAAAGATTCAGACAGAGATAGGGCTATGGAGGTGCTGGTGAAGAAAACTCCTTTTATCATTCCATTTGCAGAGGTAATCCAATTAGGTCTAAATATTCTTGATACATTCAATGATTGTCTTGATGACATATAAGTTTTTTTCTTACAATGCTCACTATTATCTCATTTTCAAACAGATGAATTTTGCTATGATCCTTATGAATTTCTGCTTATCAGCATATACTCTATTTATACTGCTATAATTTGCATTTACTACAGAGTTGGTGATTCATAAGGGAATTGCTAGTGTTATTTTAAGAATAAGTTATAAAGTAAGAATCCTAAGGGCCATCTTTAATTTTCAGAGAAATTATAAAATTTAAAAAAAAAACCTTCCTGTTTAATTGTAGAGAGTGAAGGCCTTCAGACACAGAGTCCGGCTGGAGAAGGAGAGTCTGGGATTGACAGAATCAGCGGCCATTTCTCCCCAGTCCACACTCATCACCGTCCACAGGAACAGGGTCGTGGAGGTCAGTATTGGGTCATGTAAATGTTTGATATGTACTGGACATTTGTACTACAGTAAAAGGGCTTACTATACTTAGAAATTAGAACTTTTATGTTCACATCAAGATATGATAACTGTACATTCCCTATGTAGCACCACCAAAGTCTGAAGTACTTTTGGAGTAAATAAAAAAAGTCATCTACAAAAAGGATAGAATGTTTTATTTAAAGTATTTTTTTTATAAAAAGAAACTTCAGACTCCTATGGTAGCACAAAAAAATTCTTATTCTGTTCATTAAATTTAATGCTAGCTTTATATAATCAGTGCAATTTTTTTTAACTTTTCAAATTAGATGCGTCACATGTAATACTTTGATATTTTTTCCTGATATTTAGGATGGATACAGACAATTGGCTCAGATTCCGGCCCAGTCCTTGAAGGGGGTGATCCGTGTGAAGTTTGTGAATGAGCAAGGTCTGGATGAAGCAGGGATTGATCAAGATGGCGTCTTTAAGGAGTTTTTGGAGGAGACTATATCTAAAGTGTTTGATCCTTCACTCAGTCTATTTAAGGTATTTCACTTATCATGCTAAGTAATTTTAAAGTACCTGTGTCATTGTAAATCAGATTTGTTTAAATTTATTTTAGAAAAATGGAGGGATTTTTTAGAAAATATTCACCAAAAGAATAAATGTCTCTCAATGGAATAGTACATACCCTCGAGACTAGCAAAGTTAAAAAGTGTATATATGTCCACATAACATTACCATATGTTTTTTTTTCGGGGGGGGGGGGGGGGGGGGGGGGGTCATTCACTGGTAATTTTTCAGGATTTATTTCTATTGTCATTTTAAAATATAGTTTTCCCTCATTTGCTTAGGGTAAACTTTTTTAAACATTTACCAAATAGAAAAAAAATCTGTATAATACATGTACCAAATATTTTTCTTTTAGGTCACCACAGAACAAAAGTTATTTCCTTCATCCACTTCTTTTATTCAAGAAAACCATCTTCACCTGTTTGATTTTGTGGGGAAAATGCTTGCCAAAGCTGTGTATGAGGTGAGAAAGAAAACTAAACTTGAGAACTATGCATAGTATATGCCCCATATATGGGCATGCGTTTTCATTTTGTTTATACATGTATCAATAAGAACATTTCTTTCGAACAAATTTTGCATTAAAGCATTCAGTTACACTTAATACTTGTACCGTATAAAGCTTTTTTCATGAAATGCAAAAACAAGTGTAAACCTTTTTCCATGTATATCCAGTATAGCAAACATGCTTATAATGACTTCTTATATAAAGGAAAAAAGTTATTAATTTATAGGGCTGGGCAATAATGTCGATATTTCAATATATTGCAATACAAAGACAAAAAATATCGTATCGCAATACGATTTTGTAATATCGATATATTGGCAATATACTTAGATTAAGGAATTTTGTCATCAAAATGATTTAATATAAAAAAGGAATTATGAAAGTTTGTTATTAAGACAAACAGTAAGACAGAAGTTGTTTTGTGGGAACTTTTAAGAGCATAACTTAAATGAAATCAACAAGATTTTTTTCTTCATGTTGGTTACTTATCACAGTTATGTAAATTCTGCATGTAAATTAAAGTAAATATAGTAAGAAAATGCCATTTTTATTACATTGAAAATATTGCAATACATTTCGCAATACAGTTAAAAATATCGCAATATATCGCAATACGAAATCTCTGGCCAATACCCAGCCCTATTAATTTAATCATCAACTTACTACATGTGTGTGGGTAATTTTTTTTTATAAGATTGTCAATTCCCTCAAAGGGTGAATAAGTGAATAATAGGGATTTTCTTCTGATCAAACCATTCATTATTTTTCAGATAATTTTACATTTGTTACACAGTTGTTTTCTGTTCACAGGGTATAGTTGTGGATGTGCCTTTTGCTCCGTTTTTCCTGACCCAGATACTTCAGCATCATCAGAACACGATGTACAGTCCTCTAGATGAACTGCCTTCCCTAGATCCAGAGCTAGCAAAGAATCTCTCTTATACCAAGGTAATTAACTTAACAGAACATATCTGAACAATGGTCTGATCAACGTTGTAACCTTTTTAGCTCACCTGAGCCAAAGGCTCAAGTGAGCTTTTCTGATCAAAATTTGTCCGTCGTCTGTCGTCGTTGGTGTCGTCGGCGTCGTCGGCGTAAACTTTTCACATTTTCATCTTCTTCTCAAGAACCACTGGGCCAATTTCAACCAAACTTGCCACAAAGTATCCTTGGGTGAAGGGGATTCAAGTTTGTTCAAATGAAGGGCCACGCCCTTTTCCAATGGGAGATAATCATGAATTTGTTAAAAATTAATGGCATTTTTAAAAAATCTTCTTCTCCAGAACCGCTGGGCCAGGAAAGATGAAACTCATGTGGAATCATCCTCAGGTAGTGTAGATTCAAATTTGTTCAAATCATGACCCCCGGGTCAAGGGTGGGGCCAAAATGGCCGACCCAAGTTTTACATAGGAATATATAGGAAAAATCTTTAAAAATCTTCTTCTCCAGAACAACTGGGCCAGGAAAGATGAAACTCATGTGAAATCATCCTCAGGTAGAGCAGATTTAAGTTTGTTCAAATCATGACCCCCGGGGCAAAGGTGGGGCCAAAATGGCCGACCCAAGTTTTACATAGGAATATATAGGAAGAATCTTTAAAAATCTTCTTCTCCAGAACCACTGGGCCAGGAAAGATGAAACTCATGTGGAATCATCCTCAGGTAGAGCAGATTCAAGTTTGTTCAAATCATGACCCCCGGGGCAAGGGTGGGGCCAAAATGGCCGACCCAAGTTTTACATAGGAATATATAGGAAAAATCTTTAAAAATCTTCTTCTCTAGAACCACTGGGCCAGGAAAGATGAAACTCATGTGGAATCATCCTCAGGTAGTGTAGATTTAAATTTGTTCAAATCATGACCCCCGGGGCTAGGGTGGGGTCAAAATGGCCGACCCAAGTTTTACATAGGAATATATAGGAAAAATCTTTAAAAATCTTCTTCTCAAGAACCACTGGGCCAGGAAAGATGAAACTCATGTGGAATCATCCTCAGGTAGTGTAGATTCAAGTTTGTTCAAATCATGACACCCGGGGCTAGGGTGGGGCCAAAATGGCTGACCCAAGTTTTACATAGGGATATATAGGGAAACCTTTTAAAATCAAAGCTATGATTAGTGATATTTATATGGAATCATCCTTAGGTAGTGTAGATTCTAGTTTGTTCAAATGATGAATGCCTGGAGGGGGGGGTGGAGTAAATTCAAGCCTGATGTGCTCAGGTGAGCGCTGTGGCCCCTGGGCCTCTTGTTACCTATAGAACTACTGGGCCACTTTTAGGCATAGAACTTGAATATTGCATGCATCAGATCATTCATTAACATACTCTTTGACTAGATGTAGGCATCAAGAGGAGTCTTGTCACATATATACCATATAAGTGGAAAATTTAGCAAGACGCAAATTTAGTGATTTGTCCTTAAAAACTGGTATTTGATTTTAGCGAGATGCAATTTTAGCGATTTTAAATTGTTCACTGAAGACGCTTTTACAAATAAAACACAATTAATTTTTAGCGATATTAAATTTTAGCAATCTCAACACCCTCGCTAATAATGCCAAAATTAAATCCTCGCTAAAATTTCTGCTTACTCGGTATATGAGAGGGAGAGGGGTAGTGAAGGGGGAGGGGTTATTTACAGATTTTACTCACTTTGGTCTATATAAAAAAACAGGGAGCACAAATGAAATTCCTTTGGAAGGTTAGAAAACCAAACAAATCTATGCATGCTCTGTTTATATACCTGTGCATGTCCAGTATCAGGGTCTAATGTCCAAGTCGCATTTACTTCTGACAAGAACCCTTTTACTTATAATCTTTGTAATCCATCAATTTTGTAGCAAAAACTGCTCTCATAGAGCATAATTTTAAAAGCATTTTTTACCCTCACTGATCTCCCAGTGACAGGCACAAATAGCAATATTTTGTTAAAACCAATTTAATATACTGCCAAAAAAAAAAGAGGAAAAGTTTTTTTTATTTATTTGGAGAATTATTTGATGTATTTTACAATGTGACACTCCCCCTTTCCATCATCCCCTTGCCCTACCCACAGTTTTCCCTCTCTGTCCAGACATACCCCCCTGGGGCTCTGTAAGCCATATTTATCACTGAGAAGGTTCATCAGAAATCTTCCATCTTTATCCAGAAGCAACACAGAATTGTTCCCAAAGTCTGAGAGAATAATGTTCATCAGAGAATCGCAGCAAACACTTCTTGGGAAGAAGAATTGTTTGGTCTCTTCCAAACCTTTGAATTTCCACTTGAGTGTGCCTTTAGAGTCTATGGCAATGACGTAATGAGTTTGGAGGTGGTCGTCGAGGACAATGTAGTTTTCATCACCATTTTGAGCCACTCGATTGGGAGCATTGAGCAGATGGTTGGCAATATCTCTGTTGTTTTGGTACTTGTCCCCAGAGTAAATCCTCAGACTACCAGTCAGTCCGGAGATGCAGACGACTAGTTCTTGTCTGTTGTTCAGACACATGCCCTTTGGGTTGGACGGAGAAGTTCTTATGAACGTCTGTGGCTTTCCTTTGTTCTCGATTTTCCAAATGCAGTGGTTGAACCTGTCTGATGCAAGAAGACAGTCTTTTTTCAAGAGAAGAAAACACTCAGGTTTGAACTGCAGGTTCAGATTTTCTACTTCCACTGCTGTGCCTTTGTCCTGTTTGTATGCATACTTGGTGAACATTTTATCATCATGGAAGCTTACCCATACTTCATTGGCTGAACAGGCTTGGATATTTGACACTGGGAGTTTGCAGGAAAAACTGCTGTGCATGCTGACTAGCAGAACACTGCCAACCAAACGTTTGAGAGTTCTTTCTGATATTTCAGCCGGGAAAAATCTAGAAGGTATAGGCATGGATAATGCTGGGGGAGTGGCAAGTGAGTCCCTCAGATGAGGAAGAGTGTCCAGAAATTCCTTGATTTCCAGTATCCCTCTCTCGGACATAACCTCGCTCTTTCTAATTTCATTTTCAATTTCCAACTTTCCTGCAACTATATCTTGCAATTCACTGTTGATTTGATTGCCGTGAGCCTCAAGGGTTGTTTGTACAGATTCTATCATGTCATCGCACAAATTGTCAACCATTTGTTTCAGCATTTCTCTCTGAGAGTTAATTGTCATCTTCACGGCTATTATTTCTGATTCATAATTGCTTCTCTGTGCTTTGGCTTGGCCTTCCAAAGCCTGATAAACTGGACAGACATCCTCTCTCCAATGTTTTGTATACCTCTTTACTTCCTTTAGTTTTTCCTCTTTGGCCTGATTGATACTAGAAAATTTATGTCCATTATGGGAGCCAGTCAGACAATCTCTACAGATAGGAATGTCACACATCTTGCAGTGGACGGCGTAGAATTTGAAATGTTCGGGACACTTGGACTCCGCCATTGGGAGCACCATATGATCCTCCTTGAATAGCTGTGAGTGGGTCCTCCAGCATTCCGTACACAGTTTTTCGGCACAGTCCACACAGTATGCAGGCAGACTCCTGTTCACACAACAGATACCACACCTCAACAGATCCTGGGGGGTGCCCATTTCTACAATAAAATAAAAGTTAATCTCATTATTTATTCCTCAGATTCATTCAAATGACCCATTTCTTTATTAGCTCTACTGGTCAGAGACCAGAAGAGCTTATGCGATAGTAATGCGTCCGGCGTCCGTCCGTCTGTCTAGCTGTCTGTCTGTCTGTCCGTCTGTCCGTCTGTCTGTAAACAATTTTTCAAAATGCTACTCCTCCTACAGTTTTGGTCTAATTTCAATATAACTTGGCACACAAGTAGACTACACTAAGATACATAATTCTGTATATCGGTTTTTGATTTCGATGAACGGTGTTGCCGTGGTTACTAAAAATAGAAATTTCTGTGAAATTCATTCAAAATGCTACTCCTCCTACAGTTTTGGTCTGATTTCAGTATAACTTGGCACACAAGTAGACTACACTAAGATACATAATTCTGTATATCGGTTTTTGATTTCGATGAATGGTGTTGCCGTGGTTACTAAAAATAGAAATTTCTGTGAAATTCTTTCAAAATGCTACTCCTCCTACAGTTTTGATCTGATTTCAGTATAAGTTGGCACACAAGTAGACTACACTAAGATACATAATTCTGTGTATCGGTTTTTGATTTCGATGAACGGTGTTGCCGTGGTTACTAAAAATAGAAATTTCTGTGAAATTCTTTCAAAATGCTACTCCTCCTACAGTTTTGGTCTGATTTCAGTATTACTTGGCACACAAGTAGAATACACTAAGTTACATAATTCTGTGTATCGGTTTTTGATTTCGATGAACAGTGTTGCCGTGGTTACTAAAAATAGAAATTTCTGTAAAATTCCTTCAAAATGCTACTCCTCCTACAGTTTTGGTCTGATTTCAGTATAACTTGGCACACAAGTAGACTACACTAAGATACATAATTCTGTGCATCGGTTTTTGATTTCGATGAAGGGTGTTGCCATGGTTACTAAAAAAAGAAATTTCTTTGAAATTCTTTCAAAATGCTACTCCTCCTACAGTTTTGGTCTGATTTCAGTATAAGTTGGCAAACAAGTAGACTACACTAAGATACATAATTCTGTGTATCGGTTTTTGATTTCAATGAATGGTGTTGTCGTGTTACTAAAAATAGAAATATTTGTAAAATTGTTTCAAAATGCTACTCCTCCTACAGATTTGGTCTGATTTCAATATAACTTGGCACACAAGTAGAATACTCTAAGATACATAATTCTGTTTATTGAATTTTAATTTTGATGAACGGTGTTGCCGTGGTTACTAAAAATAGAAATGTCTGTAAAATTGTTTCAAAATGCTACTCCTCCTACAGTTTTGGTCTGATTTCAGTATAACTTGGCACACAAGTAGACTACACTAAGAACATAAAGAGACTTTATCAACGATCATTATTCTATTTAATGCTTTTTATAAAGTTTCAAATCCCAGCTGCTTAAGTACTTTCTCTTCCTTTGCTATAAGTTCAAACCAGTAGAGCTTCAGTCTTGACAGAGACTTCTGGTTTTGTAGTAAGCAATGAAGGTACATGTACCAATTCCTAGTAGGGTGCTGTATATTTTAGAATAACATCTGTGTGATACTGGTACATGTACCTGATTCTGTAGGAAATAGAAATACAATTTGATTTTGTACTATATATGTTCATCACCACAGAAGGTGGACTTTATACACACAAGCTTTTCTGCTAGGAAATACATGTACGGTATGATTTAACAATAGATATGTTATACATCACTGTAATATTTGGACATCACCTACAGCTGTCAAAACATCTTATAATACACATGTATTTGTCTTTTTCTGTAATTAAATACAGACTTACAATTAATTTAAATTTTCAATTAAATATCTGTATGAGTTGAGAGAACAGAAAGTTCTTGAATATTAGGCATATTTATACTGACATTTTGTCGATAATCAATGTTATTGAATGTTTCAATGATATGACACTATCAAAAAGATAAATAAAACAATCCTATATAATTCATATTTAATTTAGAACTGAAAGTGCCTTGAAGTGGCTTGTTTTGATGTAACAATAGAAACATTTTAAGCTACGATTTTCAGAAAAGCAGCACTTGTGTAAGACCAGCTATCAAAAAAAAAAAAAAAAAAAAATGAAAAAATTAACTCAAAAGAAAAAAAATTAATATAAAAGAAGTACAGTACTTACTGATATAGACAATGATAAAGTTTGGAGTCCTCCTATAACCTGTGCTATTTGTAGGTACAATATTATTTACTCTATATCCTACACATCTTGGTTATCAGTGCCCTATGATAATAACAAGCGAATCAGTTTTGAACATGTGAGCGTAGTATGCGCCCCCTTCCTGATTTTGTGCAACTGATATGGATTTTCCAGAACTAAATTTTAGTTTATCCACCTCTATATGTTACTCATAGTACAAAAATAGCTGTCTGGTCATATGACTTCGAGTTTCTCAAGTGGTAGGCAAATTACTAAGTGCAGGTTTTCCTATCAAGCTAGTTTCTAAAAACTTATCAGTGTCAATCAGGAGAAAACTATAGAGATAAAAACTTGTCATATTATGGGGGACAAAGGACACCTCCTACCTAATCAAAACAATTATTACCCGGTATATAGATGCTGTTCAAAGTAAATGATTGAATTAATTGGTAATTAATGAATAGAAAATAGTATAAATTGGTCAAAATTGTAAAGCATAAGATTTCAAATTCATATATTTGGGACATGTATAATATTATCATTTCATTATAATATTTGTCCTATTTGGATCATATAATAGCTTTAGAGACCAGACAAAATCTTTAGATTAAAACTTGAGCTTGTCTTCAGAAAAAGTGAGAACACTATTTTTAAAGTGAAAAGAAATAAAAACTAGTACAGTAAAAACTATCTCATCCATCATTCATCACAGTTTGAATTCTGACATTAAATATTGTTCCAATTTTACTATTTTCCATGTTTCTGTACACTGTCTTATCAGACACACTGTCTATTCTGACATAAAGTTCATCTCCCAGTGCATGTTTGATTTAACACAGGTTTCACTGTACATCAAATATATTAATACCGTAACAGTAAAAATATGTTTAGTACTTGTACACACATGGAAATAGCAAATTTATGGATATAGCAGTTTTGGGAGGTCTTCAGCTAATGGGAGATCCTCAGCTAATTTGATTCTTAGCAATACCTTGTAGAATTTTATGGTTATCAACTCTTCAGAATCAATATGTTATCACCTTTTTTGTGAGATCTAAAAAATTTGTTCTGAGTGAAGCAAGGCCCCCTTGGACAAGGACAGGGCTTCAATTAATTTTTGTATTATGGGTATATATGGGTCCAGGGCCCAAGACCATAAACTGAGAACAGACTTAAGTCAAAATTTGAAATCGATATAACTTTTGAAATAATTGCATTTTAGTAGTAAAAAAATGAAATTTTCATCATATGTTTGAATTGAATTGAAGTGTTTTGAACACTTGCAAATTTTTAAACTAATACATTGAATGAAACTAGAGATATTAAAAAATAAAAATTTTGACTGAAGTCATCTCAGTTTACGGCCTTGGGGCCAGGTCCACAATTTGTAATGTACAGTGAAACAAATCTATCATCTGGATATTGTGTATTCTGAACCTTTTTCAATAAATTATTTTAAATTGTTGTCTAATGGTGTAAATTTCTTCAGAGTAGTGTTCGGATTAGACAAGTTTTACTGTATTATCCATTTATTCACAGTAGATTAAACTTGTGTTCAAATAATGGCCACAGAAATGTAGGATAGGGATATATACATTGAGAGATTTATACAAAATATGTGGGACATATTTGATTGAAGCCATTATGAAAGAATGATCACATTACAGATATTTCTAATCTCCATTATTACCTCTTGTGAGTGTCTTTAAGTTTTATAATGAGCAATGAGCTATAATTGCAAAGATATATTTAGAAAATAAAAATAGGATTCTAATGCAATTGTTTTGTAAAACACGTTTTGATTGGCTAATGCACTGATGTTTGAAGCAGTAAAATAAGCATTAACGAGGCAGAAAGCCATTGTGATTGTGACGTCATAATAGAGCGACTCAAAAACACAATGCTCCGTGACATATTTTATATAATGAAACACAACAAAATAAGATGTAAACAACAAATAAAATGCATGGATTGCATTAGAATGGGAATAACATCCGTTTTAGCGGCTCCGTTTACGCATCACCGGTAAAACTCAGTTTGCAACCGTTAAATCAGCATTAACGGTCGCAAATACCAAATTAGAAGATAATTATTCCTTAAAGGAGATGGGTGAACATGACGAGCAATAATCCCATAGCGCAACAAACATGAAGGTGAGAAAAATTAAATCTCAATTATACCAAAATTTTCCTTAATATTTCATCTAACATTAAAGTATACTTTATGTAAAATCTCTACAACTTGCACAAATCTCATGAAGATTGAAGTTATTTGCCTATGAAATATTATACACACACGAAAGAGGACAAAACGAGTCATTTTTTCACACTATAACACTATTTTTCGATATGGGTGCGTCTTCTCTCCATTTTTTTGAAAGTTAATCCTCAAAGTTTGCATAAAAACATACATATTTGGTTTCCAAAATTATGGAGCAAAAGACCCACTATACCTTTAAAATATAATTTTATGACATAACTTTCGTATCTTTTCAAGAAATACTTGAAGTCCCTTAAGTCAATGGTTATATCACAAACATGATTTAAATGCCACACTTCATCAGGACTTGTGTAGCGTAGTGGTTAGCGTGCTAGTTTCAATAGAGAATGCAACTCAGGATTTTTATTACCAGGGTTCGAACCCAATGGATACCATATTATTTTTCTTTTATAAAAGAATAAATTTTAACGAGAAATTTTCCTCAAAACTTTGTTTATCATGATTTCATAAAAATCAATGATGAGAACTTTACTCTACACTAAATACTTAATTCACAATTTGAACATGATTTTTAGATATCTGAAGCTAGTGGGCTTTCTGCACGCTAAGTGCCATCTCCTTTAACACCATTTTAATTCAGTTTGTGTCTACATTTCTTAATTTGAAAAACATTAAAATAAAAAACAAACTAATGACATATTTTGTTTTAGAAAAAAATATAATAAGTATCATTCACGACAATAACTCACCCAAAGAACATTTCTGATCGAATGAAAACATTAATAAATAATCCTTATTCAAATGTTTACCTTGATTAACAATACCTTGTTATCAATTATTGGTAAGCACTTCTAGACACTTGTAGACATACATGTATTTCATGGTACATGGACTAATAAAACACTTGGTATTTCCTTTAATAATGATATTTGGTAACAACATGTACTGGTAATATGATACAGAATGCATCATGTGATGTTTCACATACTTCCTGTTGTGTTTTATTTAATATTTTCAAACACATGTATGATTTTATGAAAAAATGAGACTGCTATCAGTACTAATTATTTCCCTGTATTGGTATGTTAATGGCAATGAAAGTGAGATTAAGTCTTATCTCCTTTGGGGAGATGTTTTACACTTGATAGCAGGGAATTGTCTGTAATAATTACCCAAACAGGAAAACCAAGTACCCACTTCATTGATAATGATGTTTTAATTTGATAATTGCTAATCTTGATAGCACATTGTTTATACAGTGTATTTTATTGTTCTCTGAACAAGCTTTGTGAAGATGTGACCTTGATCTGGCCTTTGCTTTAAAATGTAACATAATGAAGGTAATGGAGATGCCTTTCACCTTGATTTGACCTCTATTTTTCTTTTAAATTAGCATTAAAAAGGAGACTTAAGTGACCTTTGTTTTAATATTCAGCATTATGAAGGAGATGTAAGTGACCTTGACCTGACCTTCTCCTGTGATGAGGACTGTATGGGGAGACTGGAGACACATGAACTTGTTCCAGGAGGGAAGGCAATGCCTGTCACTAATGAAAATAAGTAAGTGGTACTTCAGTTTGAAATTCCTTAATTTTCAAAATATAGTTTTAAAAGTAGTAAAAGAGGATTTTTTTCCCATGCTTGTTTGTTGCAAGAATATCTGTCCCGCTCACATTTATTTGTTAAATTGGAGTATAGAATGGTGAATAATGCATAGGCAATGATTTATTACTATGGGCATTTCTCCACATATTTGCCAATGTTTCTATTGTAAATCATGGTTATGTTCTACAGACTACAGTAGACTTCAAAGTCTGGAGAAACAACAAGTTCCAAGGAAAATTAATGATTTTGATTTTCAAAAATATTTTTTGCAATTGAGTACTTACTTTGTGTTGTTTAGGATTCTGTATGTTCACCTGATGGCCCATTTCCGGATGTATCGCCAAATTAAGGAGCAGACGGCAGCATTTAGAAGAGGATTTCAGACGGTCATCAATCCGGATCTGCTTTTGATGTTTTCAGCCCCGGAATTCCAGAAACTAATATCTGGAGACAATGCAGACCTGGATATTCAAGATCTCAGGTACGTTATATGTGGTTTAATATTAAATTAAAGCTTTGAAAATTTGTGAGCAAACCTGTGTGATAAATTTTTAGCTGATGTCATGCAGAAAATAAATGCTTAATACATTTTATATATATAATCAAGGAATATCAGTATGGTTTATTTCTGACTTCTTGCTAAATATTTCTTTCCAGGCGTCACACGCGATACTATGGAGGTTATCACAACAGCCATAAAGTCATCAGCTGGCTGTGGGACATTGTCACTAATAACTTCACTCCCCAGGAAAGAGGTTTATTCCTCAAGGTACTTAACAACTAAAAAGATTTAGATCAAACAGCATAAAAAAGACCCAAAGCAATGTTAATTCATATATTTTGTGTTTATGAAAAACAAATCTGATAAAATCTTACTAAAGGTATGGATAATTTTGTGGATGAGGCTTCTTTATGCTCTCAGTTTCCACATCCAAATATGGATTTACTCATGATTGATAATTTTTCTTCCATTTACTTACTTACTATTGACATTTGCTGGCTGATTGCTTAATTGAAGTACAATACATATAAACATGTAATTCACATGATTGAAATGATGATCAGACAGATGCAATCAGAAGGATCAAAACAGAAAATGGTTTACACGAAAGTGTACATTTAAAATGAAAGTTGTCAGTTTAATGTAGAGATATTTTTCTTTACGTCGACATAATTTCTTTACAAATTGCTTTATAAGTGTTGAGTGATTGTTATTTTGTGGGATTATGAAATAGATGTATCTCTCATGGCTCTCTTACAGGGGGTAATCATATTTCACATCTAGACAGTCAGAATTTTTTTAATGTTCTTGCATCATACTTTGATCAATAGTGTAAAAAAAAAAAAATTAAATCTTATATTTTACTTTTCAGTTTGTGACCAGTTGCTCTAAGCCCCCGTTATTAGGCTTTGCTCACCTGGAGCCTCCCTTCTCTGTCCGCTGTGTAGAAGTCAGTGATGACCAGGTTGGTACTGACCAGTCAAACTCAGTAATTGTCAGTAATCCAATACTTTTTTGAAAACCTGACATTTTAATTATATTTTTAAAAGATACAAATGCATGTGATTATGAACTTTTCCTTTACATCACCCAAAAGTGTTTTTGTGGATTTTGCCCAAAACTTTGTCATCTAGATTAAATGATTCACACTGTTGGAAATATGTTTTTGTGAATTAAATTTGAAAATATCAGATCAAAAAAAAAAAACTGAACAAGTACATTAATTTACTTGCATATACCTTTAATTGTAATTTCCAGACAAGTTAAAAGTTCATTAAACTTATAGTCATTTTCCAATAACACATTTTTTTTTCCTTTCCAGGATACAGGAGATACTGTAGGGAGTGTCCTGAAGGGATTTTTCAACCTGAAGAAGAAAGACCCCATAGGGCGCCTCCCCACCTCCTCCACCTGCTTCAACCTCCTGAAGCTGCCAAACTATCAGAAGAAATCCACCCTCAGAGATAAGCTCAGATACGCCATCACTTCTAACACAGGGTTCGAGCTCTCTTGAGATCCTGATGAGAAAGAAATGAGCACTGAGCAAAGGAAAGACACAGATTTCTGGCGTGTACTGCACAGGCTGCCAATAGATTCACTAGGACATCTTGTTTTCCAGTGACCCTGATCAGCTCATACATGAGGTTTGAGCTTGCCAGGACATTATGAAATGAACAGTAGACCAAAATTGTATCTGCAGTTCTTTGCGCTGTCATGACTTATAAATGCATTTTATTGCAATTTAATTTACGGTCACTTGTCATGGACTAAAGACTAAGGAATTCTGTACATAGATTGGGCTTTAATTTATCTAAATTGGAAATCTTTAGAAAGATTAAAATTATTAGAAGAAAAAAAAATTGCACAAAACAAAATCAAAAGATAATTATATTTTGAAAAAACCCCTTGAAACTACAAATAAATCCTCAGGAAATTATAAGTTGGCAAACACTGAAAATTATCCCCATGACAATCCATTGTAGAACATAAGTCTGAATCATTTTATGAAAGTAAGGTTCACCCCTATATATTAGTGTTGTCTGTGATATCATACATGACTTTTATCAACATTTAGTGAAGTATATAAATTTTTTCTAAAAGTTTTATAGAATTTTTATAGATTATGTAAAGATTAATAAGAAAATGATTCAGTGTGGATTTATTGAAGATGCTAAACAATTTTAATATGATATGTGGCTATCATCTTACCAAAATTTAAAATAAATATCCGTCCACCTAAAAAAATGAATTACGAGTTATAATGAATTATTAAGAGAGATAATTCAAAGGATATAATAGTAGAACTGGTAAAACAGATTATGGACTAGTAAGATAAAAAAAAAATGTTTTGTAAATGAATAATGTATGTGTAGATCATATATTCAGGACATAATTTTCATGCTCTTGATGGACCAATATTCACATGATTCACTGCGTTTTTTTTTTTTTTGCCTGATCATGTTTGTATTCTGTTATATTGGAGATTTAAAGACAGCTGGTACTTAAATGTATACTGATGTTTAAATAATTTTACTCTTTGATTTCTATCATTTTGTTTTCAAGAGAGACATTTTACTTATTATGCCCCCTTTGAAGAAGGAAGGGCATATATATTTTGCTGGCTTCTGTCTGTCGGTTGGTTGGTCTATCAGTCCATCAAGTTTCCTTTCATTTTTCTTTGCAGAGTTTGGACATACTGAAATGAAATTTAGTATTACAGATTTGTCTTTAAAAATATCAAGATCAACTTCTGTTTTGGGTATGATCAAGCAATTTTAATAGAGTTATGCCCCTTGAACTTCAAAAAAAATTCCAATTATTTGCAGTTTTCTGTTCATTTTCTTTGCAGAGGTTGCACCTACTGAAAGGAAATTTGGTATACAGATTTATATTACTAATATCTATTTCAAATTCTGCTTTTGGATACAATTGAGCATTTTTGACAAAATTATGCCCCTTGGACTTAGAAAAACTCCAATTATTTGCAGTTTCAATTCATTTTCTTCACATGCACATGCATGTATGTCCAGGGGGAGGGGGCATAAGTGTTTCACACACATCTCTCTTTTTTTTTTTATTGTAATATAAATTGGACTTCAATTTTAAAAACTATGTTATAAAAATGTTTAATTTCAATATATACCGGTATATCTCAGTGCATTTTTTTACCTCAGTATTTTGTTTCAGTATCAAAATTAGTTTAATCCTTAAGATTTATCACATGATTTTATGAATTTTGTTTCTTGTAAAATAACTAAAGTTTATGCTTTAAAATAAACAGTTCATTTTCTTGTCATTAATTACATCATGTAACTTCACCAAGTCACTTTACCCTTGTTGTCTTTCAGTGGAGAAATAAAACTCATACATGAAACTAAATAATATAGATTTGTTTTGTTTACTCATTATATATCTAAATCGAATTTATCACTTTGCCTGCCTTGTTTTGCACGTAACCCTATCATTACATAGTCGTATAACTGTGGATGTTTGAAAATTGTTGACACTTTAACCTTGACCTACATGAACAAACTGTATGGTATCCAGAGGAAGGTCTTGTCACAAGAAATATACCAGTGAATTATAAAAGCATTAGCACCAACTGGTCAAAAGTTTTGTCTAATGTAAAAGTTTTCAAAATTATGTCAAAGTCAAAAGGTCAAAATTGTGGGTATGTAAAGAAAGGACTTGTCACAAGTAAATATTTAAAATTTATTAAAGGTTACAGTTTCATGAAAAAGTGGACCAAACTCTAAGGTCAAGATCAAGAAGGCCTTGTCACATCAATTTCACATGGGAAATATGACAGCCCTAGCACCAACTGTTCAAAAGTTAAAAAAAAAAAAATGGCCAAGATTAAAGTTCTGTAATTTTTCACAAAAATGTGTCAAGCTCCAAGGTCAAAGGCATCAAATATCTTGGAATCCAAAAAAAGGTCTTATCATAAGGAAATCACATCATAACTTCAACCAAGCAAAAGTTATGGGCAAGGTTATATGTGGACAAAACTATATATGGACAGGACAAAACTATATACCCTGAAGGGCATATTTAGTGTTAGGGGTTTCATATTTCATATGCATATACCTTAAGACAAGACCTTTAATTTCCTTTGACACCATTAATTTTGACGTTGACCTTGGAAGTTGACCTACTTTTGAAAAACTCTAACCTTGACCATAACATTTGAATGGTTGTTACTATGGCATTCAAATTTCATTGGTGTTTTCCTTGTGACAAAACATTTCTTTGGATACTATTTTGAGTTGCATTTCAGAGAAAATACTTTGCCATGAGCTACCATATTGGGGCATCAGTGTTTCACAAATTCAACACATCTTGTCTTTGAAGCTCATCAGTTATGTACACTAATCATGCTATAAGTGGGAAATGTTGTCTGTTTTGTATTGAATTTTTATTTGGATGACTCGCACAATTCTGTCTCTCGCATTATTTATTTATAAATGTCTCCAGTATAACAAATCCCTAGCCTAGTCTGTCACTTTCAAGATTAGTCAATATCACTTTTTTAAAACATTTTTATGGAAATTATTAAAATGAATAACTAATTTATAAGTTTTTTACTAAAACACTATGCATATATTGCATAATCTTGTAATACAACAGCTGCAAAACAGATTTTTTATGGAAATAATATATTATCCACTATGTTTGTGGTAAACGAAGCAATTTTCCTTCTCTCCACACTAAATTATGGACAGTATGAGAGATAACTTTTATATTTCTGGTCAGGGTTAGTACAAATCTATATTCATTATGGCATTTTTGAGACCCTGTGTTGAACCACATTTATTGATTGTCAGGGTTTTTTGGTGAAGATGTGCTTAACCCAGTGTCCCTAACACACAAACTGATTGACAGATGAAATAACTGACCATTCGATTGTCTCATCATGCGGAGATAAGTCCTATAGAATTGTTAAAATACCTGCCAGTTAAAAGGACAAGCATTTCACTGTTGTTACTCACTGCGACCTGGTGTCAAGTGGAATTAGTACGATTATATACGTAATGTAGGATTTAATGATCAAGATTTTTTTCTACCTGGTATAAACAGGTGTTTAAGTTTTGTTAATACGTATAGTGTACGCTGAAAGATGTTGAAAGTTTAATGCTCTTCAAAGACTTTGCTGCAGTAAAGCTTGAGCTGAATGGAGTTAGCCCAAGGTAGTTTTTTACATTAATTTAATTTCTTTGAAAATTTTAAGCTTATAATTTCTTGGACCTAATTAACTAACAGATTATAAAATACTGGTGCATATAATTTAATCAAATTTCTAAATTTTTAATTATTTTATGAATTTAAAAATGCCCGCACATTGTAAAGATGTAGAAAATTTTAAGTACAGTGTGCACTTTATATACATTTTTTGCACTTAAGCATTCAGCTTAATGTAATTTGCATGCAAACTTAATGTACTTGAATATATAAGCTTTAGGCTTAATCGCTGTCTAGTTAATTCTTCATTTCGGTTTCTTTTCAATGAAACAATTATTTTTTAAAGAAATTAATTTAATTAAAATTCTGACATAGACAGTTATTTCAAATTGTACAGTACCTAAACATTAATTAACATGTAAATATTCATTTTTTGCACCTTTTTTTCTCCTACGAACAGCATGCATTTATCTTCTCTTATAGTTACGTAGAATATAATGTACATTGTATACGAGTCTTCAGGGCTGTAGAGGTAAAAAGTTTCACCTGTGACAATGTGTGTCTTTATTGGCTAGTCATGCCTGATTTTACGAGTTGTTCTGTAATTTGTCACATTTTATCACCTGTGGACAAAAATTTAATGCACGTATTGCATGTACCTGGCAAAAATCAACTGTACTGACCCACACCTGAGAAAATTAAGCTGTTGTACTGCCTAGCAGTGGTACCAAAATTAGCATATTGTAATTATCCTGCAATACATAAGAATTATAACACTTAAAGACCAGTGGTTCACAGCTTGCTCTTTATTTGATCAATAGAATTAACGGTGAAATATTGATAATTTTTATTTTATTTTCCGACATAAAGATTTTGTAAACAGATGTTTTTGTGGCCAAGTGAAATCTGAAATTAATGTCATGAGATGTCAGGATGTTTTTAAAATGAAATTTGAACTGTCTTTCCACGAAAATTCATTGTTATGACTTCATGTTGCCTGACACTATTGAAACAATGTAGTATCACTGGAGTTTGCATTTAAATGTCCTGGTCGCTCTAACATGGTCCTGGTTGGAAGTCATTTACAGGTACAGATAAACCTAAACTGATGAATGCTTGACATTTTCTCTTTCTAGGGATTTGAAGTGGACCACAGAGGTGTATAAAATATGGCCTTATTACCACAGGTCAAAATGAAAAAGACCAACGATCCAGGAATTCTAAACAGAAAATAATCTTCAGAGAAAAATATTTCTGATGACATAAAATCCATCAGTGTTTTGCGAAATATCAAATTTAATGCTTTCTGAGTCAGTGAAAGGAAAATGAGATTAACAAATTTCCGATGGAAATTACTTGGTCTGCTTGTTAGTTTGATTTTTGTCTGGAGTCTTTTCAGCTCCAGAGGAAATCAAAATGAATTCTCGGAAGAACCTGAGTTTCCAAAGTCAGTGTGCAATGACAGTGAGGATAACATATATGTCAATCATTTTTATCTCCATAACGACCCAAAGAACCGGAACCACTCCTATTCCTTGAGGGCACAAAACCCCTTCAGTATTCAAAACCCTGGATTGTGTTTTGAAGAACATTCATTGGATTTTCTTATTCTAATCAATACAGAACCTAATCATTTTCTTAGGAGGAAAGTCACTCGTGCCACATGGGGAAATGTAAATTTACCTCAGTACCAGAAACTCGGAAATTTTAGAATTCTCTTCATTGTGGGCCGTTCCACCTCTAAAAAAATTCAAAAAGCCATTGAAAAAGAGGCAGCACAATATGGTGACATTTTACAAGGAAGGTTCTCAGAGGCCCCAAACAATCTCCCACAGAAAGCTCTGATGGCCTTGAGATGGACGGCTGAATACTGCCTCAAGGCCAAAATGATCATCCGCATTCAGGACACTGTGATTCTCAATATGTTCGAAATTTTACGAGAATACAAACCAAAATATTCCTGTACCAAAAATCTATTAATGTGTAAATTCATCAAAGAAAGGATAAAATTCATGGATTATGAAAAACTAAAAAGGATGAAACTGGCTCCTACCATTATTCACTGTGTAGGAAAAGCTGTGATAATGACTCGTGACATGCTTATCTCCCTTTACCATGCCGCCCCCCATATGACCCCTTACTGGTCAGATGACATGTACATATACGGAATGTTGCCGGCTCAGATTCGACAGAAAACTCTCAAACCTCTGCGACTTTACGAAGGAAATTCTGACCAGGCAATAGACTGCTATGAAACAAATCTACACAACTGTGGATTAGTTGCTATTGATACCCAAACACGAAGCCATCATAATATTATCTGGTCTCATATCAAACATTATTTCGCATAATGTTGACATTTTATAGGATGGTGATATTTCGTTTTATTGACTTCCGCATACTTTTATGGCCCTTGATTACTAGGCTTTTCTCATATTCCTATTCCACTCCTTGGATGGCAATCAAACCAGTCTAAATGTGAAATTTTTATCACCTCATTTTAGCTATTCAAACAATAATTATATCAAACATTTCTTCTTTCAATGCAGAAATGGGCATGAACTTGATTTATTTTTTTTATCAGAGACATAGATCTTGTTCAACATTTATCAATACCAGTGAACCTGTATTTTATTTTTAATGTTACATTTTTGTTTTATATGTTACTGCTGTGCAGTAACTAAAATTTGAATAAAAATTAAGAATGAAACTTATTAACATTATATTTTACATCAATTTAAAAGTTGTAATGCTGGAACATGGGTTCTGAGAGATGTAAGGAAAAAATCAATAAAATTTAAAAGCTATGTAATATGGCGTATCTGAGCTAAAAAAACATTAAAATACTATAGATTAAGTGTAGATTTACATGATATTTGTTTATTTGCATTCAGATCAAATTTTCACCAACTTGGAACTTAAATATCCCCATGTTTCTATAGTTCAAGTGACTGATATTTAATGCCAAGTCCAAAAAAAATTGGTAACTGTTATTGTTCAAAATCTATGAAACGCGATTGACCTAAATTGTGTAATTTACAGGAAAGTCCTATCTTTTTATAGAGTAACAAAACATATAGAAGATCTTTTTTATTCTAGTTAGTCTGAACTTATCAAAAATATGCCATATATGACTTTAAGGTATTGTAAACTACTGGTACTCTTTATTATGTATTATTAATTAAGTGTCTATAAAATATCAACTTCTTATTTCAAAGTTAATCATAATCTGAGCAAACATTTTTTGCACTATAATGGTAGCATAAATTTGCTCAGTTTGGATAATTCTGCTTCTTTAAATGAAGCAAGAGCATATAGCTTATAAAGCCAGAACCCCTTGCTTAATTAGCATTATGCATCAGGCCTGGTGACCATAAAACTTAGACGAGCTCACTTTTGATCTTAGTCTCTCACTCCAACAGAAAGTGAGACTGAGATCAAAAGTGAGCTTGTCTAAGTTTTATGGTCCCTAGGCCAGGGGATAGTGAACATAGGTCAAATAAGCCATCTTTGCCCTCAGACTTTCTGTATTGAGTGCTAGAGGACAGATGCTGAGAACTCATATATACAAGAATTCCTTGCCCCCCCCCCTCCCCCAGTCAGGTAATAGTGGACATAGTTCTAATATTCCTCCGCATCCCCTCCCCTCACTCCCTGTCATCATGCTTCAGGTGATAGAAGACATAACCCATATTCCATGTCCCTAACTCTCATGCAAAAAGAGCTGGTGGATAGAGCTTATATGGGCAAGCATTCCATGTCCCCAGCTTTCATGTATCAGGAGCCAAAGGACAAAGCTCATTTAGGCAAGCATTTCCTACCATAAGCCTCACTGTGTCAGGTCCTCCTGAATATGGCACATACAGGCAAGCATTCTTAATAAGGTTGTAGTGCAATATTACACATCATATAAGCATTGTCCCAAGTTTCAATTGCTTTCAGTCTAATGTTAACATATCTTACAGGGTTTTTTTTTTACATTATTTCTACCAAAACTTGGATCTTTCTTTCTGGTACTGCTGATAGTTAAAAGTATTTCAATCTGGAACTGGATAGAGAGAAAACTTCAAGAAATCTTGTTTTGAGATACTGAGGATAAAATACTGTTCAGTCTTAAAACTCACTTTTACATATCCATGCTTTTCAAAATATGGTTCTTCAAAATACCAAAGTTCAACTGTAATTTACATAGAGGCATGAGGTAAATTTAACCAATAAGATTTCATGAAAAGAAAAAACTTTAAAAATTAATGTTTTCATGTTGTTTTTAGGTATTATATTAAAATTCCATAGACTAAGCAAAATAAACAAGTGAGAAATAATACAAAAATGCTAAATTCATTCAGGTTCCACAATTGTATTTTGTCCATCTTACAAACATTTGTAATTTGATATTACTTGTTCTAAGGTTGCAAACCCGTCCAGAAAATCGTCCTCAGTAAGTCCATGTTCATTGTACTGGTGCACATAAGCTCTGGCAGAGAACATATCCCAGGCTTTCCCCACCATAAAGTTCATCTCCCCCACCGGTGACTTACTGTTAGAAATTAGAGATGCTGATTTCTCGTAGTGGTTAAAAGCTCTCGGCTGTATACCTGTCATCAGGGTGGCATCTGGTGGTACCCACGGAACATACAGGGCGGGGTCAGAGAACGGTGTGGTTTCTGCGGACGCTGATTCCTTGCCCCTCAGTAACAGAAGGTTAGCGAGAGAAGTGTTGTGTTGAGATCCTCGGGAACTAACTTTGACTTGCCAATCAATACCTATAAAATTAATTAAAAACTGATGTAGAATTCTTATAAAATCTATAATTGACTGCATTAGTTTATACATTCTGAGTAGAATGGATATAATTGAAGAATACATACAGGTACATGTATTAAATTTTTTATATGTATGCCAGAGTTGTGCCCCTTGTCACAATATAGTATCACTACATTTATCTTGCGATCTGAATGAATAACTGAAAAAGTTTAGCTATCCAAGTGTACAAGATAATAATGTTGAAACTCAAGCTCTACAGTTGAGATCATGGACTCACGGACTCACCTCAACATACACCAATGAATGTCTAATATTGATACTGAACCGAAGTACAACTGTACACATAATTCTTCACATTGTGGCAAGAACATGAATTAATTTGAAGTAAATCTCAATTGTTTATTAAAATAACTAACCCTCTTCCATTGGAGCATCAGAAATGAGCATTTGTCGGAGGTGTTTGAGCAGCCCGTGCCATTGGTAGGTGCTGAACTCCTGGGCCGCCGCAGACATCTGAGGAATGTTCTTAATGGTCAGGAGTTTGTAGTCTGGATGTGGCACCAAGTGTTCCAGCATTTCACCTTAATCACATAATATAAATATTGAGAGCATCACAAAATATAAAGAAAACCTCTCTTTCATGCTCTAATTAAGGCAAAGCAATTTTTTTAATACACCTAGACAATCATCACTTCACTTCACAGTTAAAGTACAGAAGATCACTTCTGAAATTAATATAATATAACATTATGCATAAAAAAAGAAATCCGAGTACAAAATTTTTCTTCAAAAAAAAACAAAACAAGATAATACCTATGGAATTGGAACAAATATCCCCAGTGAACTTGTTAAGTGGACAGGGTTGCAGCATAGTGGCTAATTTATGGCAGATGACTTTGTTAATGTCTTTGAATGAGATCTTCTTAATGTTCAGAAGTTGCTGACATATCTTATGGAGATGGTCATTTTCCATGACAACAATGGCATCCACCGTGTGATATAATCGTGACAATGTCAAAAGAGCATTATAATTCTGCACAATGACCTCTCCGGTCTTATAAGGCCACACTACTTGGTTCATTATAAATGCATGAGGAAATTCATCTCTCAAACAACGAGTCACATATGCCCCCACCCCTGAGCCTGTGCCCCCTGCCAGACTCATGAGGGACAGGAATCCCCCCAGATTGTCACATTTTTCCGCTTCGCGCCGGACTAGTTCCATGACTGTGCTCTGACACGCTGGGCCGTGGATGCAGTAGCCGTGGGCCCAGTTGTTTCCTGACCCCCTCTGCTGGCAATAGTTCTGTTTCTCAGAGTAACTCCATCTCCCTGAACGCTTGGCATCTTGATATGTTTGAGCTATCACCTAGAATTCATATTGGCAAATAAAATATCTCTTGCAATATTTTAAGTCTAGCCTGAAAAACAGGATGAACTATGATTATTCAATTTTTTTAATTTCATTTTTCAGGTTTTTGGCTTATTATCATTATTAATAATAGTTTTTAAAAAATCTCTATGAAAAAAGTTATATGTTAACCTTTTATGAATTTCACTTAAGTACAGTCATCCTCAAATGTTTATTGTTTAATGGGTTAATACTTCTGTGAAGAAAATTAAAGCTAGAAATTACTAAAAAGTGTACAGTATTATTACCTTTGGCTCCATGTCCACCATGACAGCTCGAGCTTTTGGAGTTCCCTCCCCTGATTCTCCACAGTAAAAAAATCGGGACAGAACCTCATTTTTATACTCCTCGTTTTTGTCTGGAGCCACCTAAAAGTGAAAATGAAAGTCTACTTGAAATATTTTGGGGAAATATATCATTATTACAATTACTTTTTCTGCAACTTACACTTGCAGACCTGCTTTTTTTTCTAATACCTTTTGTTCTTATTAACATTCACCTGTGTAGCTAGTGGTTTCGAGTGGACATCGTCCATAAATGTATGGAACAGCTGACCACCAATTTGGTTTCCGCATTGTCCTAGTTGTACTGTTATTATTGACATTATCCTCTACTTCCATCCCCTATTTTTTCTGCTGACTGGGTCTGGCATACTTCTGGTTCACTTTGGATATACTTCAGTTTCTATCCCTGTCCATTTCTCTAAGGAGAATACAATATTTACATACTGATGGAGTTCATTTTCTCTACCAGTGGGAAAATTGTGATGATTTTGTATGGTAAGAGGCATATATAGTGCCTTGATTTAAATATCATAATAAAACATAAAATACATGTAAAGTTAGTCAACCAAATTATAATTGAAACTCAGAAAGTAAAGATTGACAGATTGAAGTGATGCACAACCAGATCCCTTAAAGAGAATATATTTTTATGATTTATCTATTCTCTTTAGAGAAGTGGACAGGCTTTCGCCTACATCCACATTGATATAAGATCACTGACAAAAACAATACCCCCTATGCTCATCCTTAAAACGTTGTTATCGACTGTTTACCTTTGTTACGGTTTTCCAACTCGTCTTTACTCCGGATTGGGACCCTGGTTTAGCTTGGGTTTTACAATTTTCACTTTCGCGATCACTACTGCGTTTTAAATATTGACTAAACACGGTCAGGATGATTGCATGATATTGACACTGACTATATCCGAAAAATGAGTTTGGCAAGGACAGCACTTTCTTCACAACTGCTTTCAGTAGTTGGCAAAGCAGCATATGTAAGTGTATACACTATCCATCAAATTTTAGGGGCATTGTGTGTTTTAAGATCGCTCTCACTCAAGACAAGTTTTTTTTTAAAGATAGAGCTTTATATTGACTTTTTGATAACTTTCATGCTCATCTCAAAGAGGGATCTGCATTGCATGCGTAAGATATATGTTGTAGATACCAATACAGCTTTCCAAAAATTACAACAGAATCTATAAAAAATTAAACTTGCGTCTGCTAGCATATTGTTAGATGCATGTTTTGATCAAGACCCAATGAGGTCTATGCAAAAAATTTTTTGGACCACACAGGACATTCAGTCATCAATGGTCATGTGAAATCAATGAACATAATAAAGTTAATTTGTTTTACGTTGTGACCGTTTGGGCAAGCGCAGTTGTAACATAAAAAACTTCTAACGTTGATCTGCCACTTCAAACGACAAGTCCCACGAGACATCTTGACTATGACGTCACACCAGGTAACAAATGCGAGCTGGTCAGAATTTATGGAGACAGCCGGGCTTCTGGTTGAAACTATAGGTCCAGTGCACTTTTTAACAAAATACATTGTAAAATATATTTTTTATTTCTTTGAAGCTTTCTACAAACTGATAGCCTTTTTATATTTATTTAGTTGCCATTTTTGTACGGAATCCTGGTAGCAAAGGAATTCTGGTAGGGTTTAAATTCATACAAAAATTTTCTTGACGCATATATCATTTCGAATTGCCGTTAGTCTATTGAGCTTGCTTCGAGAGCAGAGCTTCAGGCTTATTTAAATGAACCTGTGTCAAAATAGTAAAACTCAAAATTGATCAATGAGAAATAGCATATTCTGGTCTCATGTAAAAGTTAAAAATGATGCATCAGACCAGAGGCACTGCAAATCAGTCAGGTTTGACGGTCCAATGTCTTTCACATAGACTTAAGGGGTAGGGGATGTCAGTCAAATTCAGACAAGTCTATATTTTCCTATTATGTAAGGGTGTGTACAATGACCATTTTGGTGAGCACAGATTTTTACAGCTTAGTAACATTTGAAACTTTGATCTGGGATCTGACTCTTATTTTAAACTACAAATTGCACAATACACAGTCTAAATTGTGACTTCACACAGATTCCACAGGAAAATATACAGAATTCATTCCACATTTTTATTTTGTTTTTAGCCAGGATATGTACCAAGCTGTAACAAGAGAATCTGGTTTAATTTCTTGAGGAGGAAAATCAAAGAGGATCCAGTTCCTCGGGACTTTGAACCTCAGCCTGTTGTGCAGTTCGATGATTATACAAGGCATAATCTGAAAAAAAGAACGTAAGATTCATAGAAAAGTTGACGAAAGCTAAAAAAATTCCTGGTTTATTCTTAAGTTTGCCATAAGGATAAACAAATCACTGTCAGAATATTTTGAAAGGAGGTATGTCAACCAAATATGCCTCAGTTGTGTTCAGTTACATTGTCCATTTGCAATGGGAAGCGTAGTTGTTATCGATAAAGCACTGACAATTAAATGATAGATCAGTAGTTTGACTGTAGACATGGTAGAAGTCTGAGACTTTTTAATTTTCTCTTTTGCAAATTTATATTAAAAGTGCTATTTGGTTTATAATTGAAAGAATTCATTAAGTCCATCTATTATATTTTTTGAGAAAAAATGTCTTATGTTGGTTTTAAACCCAGTTTAATACAATATGAAAATTCTTGCTAACCTTTTCAGGGTTATTTTTAAAATATATTTATCGTATCTTGTATAATTCGTTGTAATTTTAAGGATGAGGATAAATTATTTTAATGTTTTATATAGCATTTTATAGATAAATGTTCATCTAAATACAGATCCATCCAGACCCATCGTGCCTACACACCTCCAGAAAATGTAGAAAATACAGTACTTCAAATTGTAAAGGGAGTATATGGAAAGGATGTGGACTTACAAGATATAGATTTAGACCAAGACAGGAGAAAGAAATTTATGGTAAGTATAAGTTGTTTGTAGTGAATTTAGTGGGTACCAGCAAAGTTTTTACTTTTTTGCACTAAAATTATATGATAATTTTATATGTCTATGCTTTATTAAATATCATTTTTTAAAATAATCATACCTATCCCCCTCCCAGTTTTTGTTACATGTGACAAGGAGATTGTGTTTTGAGATTGATTTCTTTAACTTTGTTTTGGATTATGTAAGCATATTCCTCAAAGACTGATCTTAAATCTAATAATGATTAAATTTGTGAAGAGGCTAGCCAACTGATTAAGTATGTTTTGTTTCTTTTGGGTAGATTGCCCAGTTTATTAAAAAAATGAGAGATAAATTTGAAATGACCAACCATTTAGTATTTTCTACCACTACAAATATTTTTTGTTTCCATATAATAATGTACAGCTTAATTTCATTTTACAGGTTCTAACTAGAATGATGAAGGAATTTGATCACTATATACCTAACACTGAGTTACATGATATGAAAACTATTGAGCAAGCTGTGGAATTCTTCAAGAAAGAAATTAAAGACACTTCATGTTTGGAAGATCTAACAAAACTAGACTTACCCAAAAACCTTCACATAAATACAGAATACATTCGGTATGATCGTGATGAGAATTCACTCTGGCCCGGTAAAGATGCCTTCCCAGGAGAACAAACCAAAGTGTTCAGCTCTAAGTTTTCAAGGAAATACAAAGTTATTGACAAATCTAAGGACAAATATAAGTACAAATTAGACAGGAAAACATTCTTTGAGGAACAAAAAGAAATAAATGATATTTTGTACAAACAAGCATCAAGACGATAAAAGTGTTAGGAATCTTTTAGTTACTTTTTGGAAGGGTTAATGCAAACATTTTTTTACAGCAAGCAACTCGCCTTTTATGCGATTTGTGAAGATATTCCTTTTGTCATTATAAAAATTCATTTTTAACAGGGATTTGCAAAACTGTATACTGATGATTAATCAATACAAACAAGATTAGCATGTTTCAACTAAATTTGAATGAAATATACCTACATGGATGCATTTTGTGTGATTTTTTGATGAAGAAAATTCAAAAGAATGTTTCCATATTTTTTGTCTTTAACATTTTTAAAGGAGACATGTGACATTATTACAGTGATATTTGTGCCTCCTTTCATAGAAGGGAGGGCATATTGCTTTGCTGCTGTCTGTCTGTCTGTCGATCCACCAAGAGTTTTCATTTTCTTTGCAAAGGTTGTACATACGAAAATGAAATTTAATTGGTATACAGATTTATCATAAGAATATCTAGGTCAAGATCTGTTTTGGTATGATCACAGACAGAGTTTTGCCCATTGACATAGAAAAATTGCAATTATTTCGTTTCTGTTCATTTCCTTTGCAGAGGATACACACACTGAAATGAAATTTGGTATGTATGTCCATGGGAAGAGAGGAGTAGAAGTGTTTCATCTCTTGTTCTATTTCTACTCAATCAAAGTAAGGCAACTATTGCCAAAAATTCCAAACTCGATAACTGAAAAGAGATAGGAGCAGTTGGTGTAGGAGCCAGTAAACTAGATTATTTAGCATGCTGTTGTACAGTTTTTGCAAAAAAAAAATGGATGAAGTGAAAATGGTCTAGATTCACTTTAGCCTCAGATTGTCATAAATATAACCAGGTTCTGCGCTTAAAACTTAAAAAAAAAGAATACAATGTACTCTTAATCACAAAACACGAAAAAACAAATTGATGGCAGAAATCTGTTCACTGTACAGTATTTCAAGAGTGCACAATAAGTTGCCCTTGGGGCACAGTGGTAAGAGCGTGTGCTCTAAGAGTCGCTAAGTAAGGAGTTGATTCTTGTGTCGTGAGTTCGAAGCCCACTGTGGGATGAGGAGACTGGTCCTTTGGATGAAACCATAAAACAGAGGTCCTGTGTTACAGTAGGTACTGACACTGAAAAAGACTCCTCACTGCGCAATAGCCCTGTGTACTGAGCATATGTCAAAATTTGCAGCTATTCTCTGGCAAGTGGTGGCATCTCCATATGAATGAAAAATTCTTGAGAGGGACGTTGAACAACAAAGAAACATTACTGGTAACTTGTCTTTGATACCAAATGTGGTCAATGATAGTAAAAAAAACACAAAATCGTGAAACTTGGTTTAATTGTATAATAAATACATAAATATATGTTGAAACAAGACATGTACATAATAACACAAAACAACTGTGGTTGTAAGTAAAAATATAATTTGTTCTGTATTTTAAACTGCAGTTCAATGTCCAGTCAAGAAATAGTTTAAAACCAAAACATATATTTTAGCAGTCCAGCTTTATCACTTGCATGTAATGTGTTAATTGTTAACACATCTACATTGGCAGTCTCTAAGAAAAATGAGGAACATAAAAACAATACAGTAGCATCAACTGTAATTCAACATTTACAATTTCTTATCACAGTGGTGTAATATAGCAGAAGGTGATGAGAGAGCATCAAAATGGATGTCAATTCAGCAGATTTTATTCATTTTTATATTTAGTTTTGACATGTAATAAGTAACTGAACATGTACCCCCAAAACCCAATCAGCACAAGTCTTTGCTAAGTATGGGTATTATTTTGCTTTCGTAAAAACCTCATTTAAAAGTTTTTTCTTGTTTTGAAATGTCAATTATGCGGTTTGTCCCAGGTCACATGATCTAACGTGTCGTATCTGATTGGTGGGTTGAAGCAGCAACATTTCCACCATTGTTCTCCCTCATTTTTATTGTGTGCTCAATCAAAGAGATACACACAAAGACCCAGTTGTACATATTCTGAGCAGGAATGGATCCAAACTTTCCTACCTCTCCATGAGGTACATCTGTATCAAAATACAAAGATAACAAAGATAATGAAATTAAATAAAATGCTAGTATGTTAACTATATCAAAGGTTATGAGACATTTACAAAGGGAAAAAAAATATATTTATTGCCATTTCATGGTGCACATAACTGTATACAGGGTTGTTTTCACCCGTGCTATTTTTGCTCTTTTGCACTTGGGATCAATTGTTTTCCCATTTAAAATTAGTCCAGTCACAGTTCTGTTGAAGAAATTACACTGTTTGTTGAATTCACCCTTTTTAAATTCATCCTGTTTCACTACCCGTGATAGGGTGTAAAAAAGGCGAAAATAAAATGGGCAAAATTTTCACTAGTATACAGTATGACTAACTTCAAAGAAGTAGGAATACAATATGTAAGTTATACTGTAAGCGTTTTGAAAGAATGAAATTTCTATTTTTAGTAACCACGGCAACACCGTTCATCAAAATCAAAAACCGAATACAGAATTATGTATCTTAGTGTAGTCTACTTGTGTGCCAAGTTATACTGAAATTAGACCAAAACTGTAGGAGGAGTAGCCTTTTAAGAAGATTTCTAGTTTCTCTGGTGGGATGAGAGCATGGTCGCTGGCTGCTGTAGGATCATATTCTGTTATCTTCTGAAGCAGTTCATTGTTGACATACTAAAAGACATTCAATAGAACAAGAAATTAAAAGCCCCTTCATTTCTGCAACTGACCCTTTGAAATCTAAATGTCATACATAAAAAAAAAAATTGCTTTTTCCACGCAAAAGTGATTTAGAAGACATGGAGGTTAAAAGAACTCCTAAGTCACTTATTTATTTTTCAGTTCCATCAAGATCAAAAGAAGTGACTTAGTGATTTACATTTCTTAGATTAGTCCAGTCATCCACTTCTCCACTTTCCACCTGGTCCAAGTGGAAAATAGCCACCACAGCCTTGACAATGTTCTGTACTATCTTTGGAGGTTCATTGTAGCTGCGTAATTCAGCGAAGGATTTGGCGTCAATCTTGGAGACATTCTCTCTGAGTTCCATTAGCATCAGTCGGTCAAACATAATGTCCATCCTGTTGTCATCATCTTTTTCTGCCTCTGTAATTATAAATCAATAAAGCAATTTATAATAATTTCATATATTACCATCTCACCCACTAAATAACTATCTAAAAACACTATCTACTATCTACATACGGTCTTGCATGATATGAAAATAATCATATTAAGTCTGAATTTCAATATTTCAATTCAACCATACACATTATGTATGATGGATAAATTGATAACAAGATTTTGTAGGGCTTCAAGTTCAGCAAAACAAGGGAGATAACTGCTTAAGTTACCTAGAACCACAGTTTTGTCCACCTCCCCTGAGAATTCCTTGGTGATCTCTTTGTGAGCCTGGTTCAGCAGTTTCAGCATTCTCTGGACCTCCCTGTTCTCATGTTCTGGAAGGTTCTTCAGTTCTCCTATACTGATGTCTACCACCGCCACTGCTCTCCCCTGATCATCACGGAGAGGGAACGCTAGGTGGCGCTGTCCATAGGCATCTGCTGACACAGTTTCAGAGTTGTCCACGCATTTGAACAAATAATCTCTGAAAGTAAAAGGTAAGTTATAACAAAAATACATGTATTTTTTTTTTTCTAAAGTTCAATATCATTAAAACAAAAAAAAGGGAACCAAGTTAAAATGTGGATGAAGGAAACATCAAATTAAAGTCATCTGCAAAGTTTTAACTACACTTAATGTTGCTGTCTATTTTATGCATTGCAGACTATATGCTGCATGATCATCTACATAGTTTTGAAAATCTTACAAGTTTTCAAAGAGGTTCAACCACAAAAAAAATCAGTTTCATATCTGAAATTTCGGATCATTGAACAATACCATCTCCTGGACCCTTAACACTAACCTAAACAGATTGTCTTTCCTCTCCAGCCTGGGGGGACTCAGAAGGTTCTGGACATTGCCTTTCTCGTCAGTGATCATCATCTTACGGAGAATGTAGTCACCCTGATCTGTCCCTGGCTCAACCATGTATGTCACGATCTCCTGTACGTGAGGACTTCTTCGGTGGATCCAGGATACTGCACTCTCCGTGATCCTCAGAAGTTTCTTCTTCATGTCTATGTTGTGGTATGAGATACTAAAGGATTTGGCCACTCCCTGGAGAACAACAAATCAAGAATTTTTTATTTTCTTGGTTGGTAGACAAACTTGATACTAATTAATGTTTTAACCTTTTGAGGAAGACAAAATTGAATTCAATATGCCATGAAAAAATGAATGATTTCAGAAAAAGTCCAGTTTGAAATGCATCAAAGAGACTATATACCTGGAAGAACTGGATTTCATGAGTGATGAAGATGGTTTTAGTGTGGTGGTCATTCATGGTGTCTATTCCCAGCAATCCAAACACTCTCTTCCTCTTGTCCTTTAATGGCACCACAATAAAGGACCCCTCCCTGTCCTGTAAGGATTTAACAGTGTGTCATGAAAAGGAAAGTAATGATTAAGAATGCATAAACATGTACTTTTTACAATCAAGATGAAATATTTTGCCTGCCGGTATTTGTAAGATTTGTATGACTGAACACAATTATTTCTCTACCTCTGGGAGTCTGTATGGGTTCCAGAACTGTATATTTCCATGGTTTGCCACCCTGGGGACATGGATTGGTTTTCCACTCTCCACAGCAGCAAAACTGCAGGAAAAAAGATATAGAACATAATAATAAGATATGTATAAATTCACATCAGTTCAAACTTTATCCTGGAAAAATAAAGTAAAATAATTTTTAGCATGTACCTGATGCCCTTCATGTCTTTATACAGTATTTTCCCTAAGAGGTAGTCCGCGTCCTCCGCGGTGGCCGCCACGTAACGTAGGCAGACATTGCCTCTCTCTGGATCTGCTGTGTTCCTCTCCAGCATGGCAATGTTAGCACTGATTCTCTTCCCTCCACCATGGGCCTCAGCATCCTAAAAACAAATAAAGTTCTGTCTTATATTGTCTATAGTACGGATGCTCTTGTTAAAAAGGATGAAGTACAAAATCATTAAAAAAATTAATTTTTAATGTTATTCACTCAGACAGAGACTAAAAAATGCAGAATACTGAGAAATTTTGCCCTTGTTTAATTTTTTTGCTCATCTTCAGTAGCTGAATTCATAATTATCTCCCTTTAACACAATCAATTATTAGTAATTGGTCCAAAAAA